CGATGGTCAGTCCGGAGTTCCCCAGAGGACCCACATAAGAGAAAAGCATTTACATTGTGCGTGCACAGGTCAGGATGCCAGGCGAATGATAAGTGATTACGCGAGGATTCCAACAAGAATTTGGGACCCCTCGGTAGCGCCATTCTTTGCACGACGTTGGGCTCCATGACATTGAGCAATAAATCTCGCGCCTTCACAAAGCACGAGCGACGCCTGTTCCCGTGCCAAGCAGGTCTACGTAATGGCCTTCGGCCCATCCCCCCACAGTGCTTGCGTTCGTTGGGATGTCGCAGGGAGCCTCTCGGGCGCCACCTGGGGGGCCGTTTTGGAAGCCCCTTTGGGGAGCCGTTTTGGGGCGTTGTCGGGGGCTTCCTAGGGTCTCTCGGTGCCTCGTGCGGGCCGGATGATGCAGATTCTCCGCGCGTTGTCCTTTTTGGTTTTTTATTGGGGTTGTTTCTGGGCCGTCTTGGGCGCCTTCTTTTGGGCCGTTTTGAAACCCGCCAGGGCCGTCTGGGGGCCTCTTTGGGGGCCTCTTGGGCCGTTTCGGAGCGGTCTTGGGTTTTTGGGGGGCCGTCTTGGAGCATCGGAAATTCGGGCAGCCGAGGACCCCCCAAACATGGAAACACCTTAGGGCAATCAAGGAGTTTGGTCTCTCGGGGTTTTCTTGGGAAGGCTCTTGGGGCTCTTTTGGAGCGCCTCGAAAGCTTCGTTGGCAGTATTTTGACAATCTTGTGCGTTTTGGACCGATCGCGCGGCGCTTCGGGGCCCTCTTTGACCGTCCGGGGGGCCTCGTGGCCCGTTTTGGAGCCCCGCTGGGCGCGAACAAAAACGCGGAGACGCCCCGGGCCTCAGGGGCAACGCGACGCGCCCTGGGGGGCACGCGGTATATTCCAGAAAATTGGGATATGAGGATTGATTTGGAGGGTGAAAGAAAGGGTCTGCAACAAGGGGGTCTGCAATAGGGGCTTCATGGCCCAAGTCTGCTCAATAGGTTGCTCATGTATGTGATCGGGTATGATTGGCATCCACTGTTAACGGTCATGGGGGACCAGTCGTTCGTGCCCGCGCCGTGCCCGCGCGGGCAAACACGCCGTCCATCCATTACCGTTCATGCGTGCAGGCGTTCTTGCATATCGCGCGTGGGGCAGCGACGTGAAGTGCAAATGTGTCTCGATTGTGCGATGTATGAGCGCATATGTTCCCAAACGATGACTTGCCGACCCCTAGGACAGATTTGAAACGGGTCCCGCGATTCTCCCAACATGTGAATTTACAGTTTCCTTCTTACCAAGCTGTGAATTCACATTCTGGCTTCTTCAAAACGGCTCCTATTCTAAATTCCAAAATGTGGATTCACCATGTTCTTTCTTCAAATTGTGAATTCACAAGTTCTTTTTTCCCAGAATGTGAATTCACATTTTGTTTTTCCACACATTCGAATTCACATGTCGCCCTGGTCCTCAAGACCCCCAGAACTGAGGCGCAGTGTTCCACATGTCAGTTTGGTTGGGCAGGTTTGACACTCACCCCGCCGCTTTCGTTTATTCCAATCTTCTCTTCTTGCGCCCTCAGCGCACATTGCCTTCGTCGCATCTCCCCAGCCCCCCGCCTCCTTGCTTGGCTTACCCTCAAGCGTGACCCATAGGGCTACCATTGCCAGGACCCTGCGCCCGACCCCCACACTCACCCTCCAGATGAGGATTGACGTTCCAGGGAATCCACCCACGGATTCGAGGACATTCCAGCTCGTGCCTCGCGGGCACGCGCGGTGGCGGGTATCGGCGACAACCTAACGCACAATGACGCCAAGTAGCGCCGAGTAGCGCACCACCTTCGCTGCGCTCGCTATTGGATGCGCTATCGGGCGTCTTGGGGACGTCCAACCGTTTCCGTGAGTTGCCTTTTTTATAAGTGTTCGTTGTCGGCGTTGCCGCGGACGTTCTCCATTTCAGACTGAAGGTCGCCTGCCGAACCTCGGCCGCTGTCGGCTTGAGACAACATGTGCTGTTGTGCGCCAAGTGGGGGCGACCAATTCCCGAGGACGGGCTTTCGTACCAGATGTTTTCCGGTTGTCCCGGGTCCAGAAACGAGCCTTCAGATACCGATATCTCAGCATTCGTCGGAACCTCGATCCTCGAACGCCCTCCCAAGAAACGAAGACGACCTCGATCCCCAGACACATAGAAATATCGATCCCCGACGAATGCGACGGCGATCCTCGACGCCTGACACCGTTAGCCATCGACGACGACGACGACGATGATGACAGAGACCCTCGACGCGCGGACACCTCGACCAGAGTTTTGGGGAACCCGTACACTAAAAAAACGAGACATCACTGGTCTGGTGATCGTCCGTTTTTGTCCCTGCCTCTCTCCTCTTCGGTAGGAAATCATGGCAGCCTGGCATACTCTTTCAATTCCGTCTTTAGCGTCGGTTAGCGACGATTGCAGTCTGGGAGTCGATGAGGTGGCGCCGATTTAGGGTCGGTTAGCGTCGATCAACGTCGATTTAGCGTTTCTTAGTGCTTTTGTTGCGTCGATTTGCGTTGATTCGCAAGAGCCTGCAAGGTGGTGTGGAAGGCTCCCATGAGTTGCCACCGAACTCCTTCTCTCCCTCCTCCGGGCTAGGCGGGAGGGAAGGCGTGGGGGGGTGCGGGAGCTGGGGGGAGGACAGCTTGCGCCATGGAGTCCTCAAGATGCACAGTGACCTTTGCGGGGGAGGCGGGGGCGGAGGAGGACCAGGAGGAAGAGGAGGTGGAAGGAGCGGGGCAATCCGAGGGAGAGAGGAGAAGAAGGAGGAGGCGGAGGAGGAGGTCAGGAGAGGAGGGCGGATGGCGACGAGGATTCGGCGCGAGTGCCGGTTGTTTCCAGCAGTACGTTGCTTATCGATGGTTGAGGGTACTTTTTTTTGGTCGGCGGCTCCGAGGCGGCGGACAGGGAGCGGTAGGCGTCGTCTGGGCCAGCAGGCGAGGATAAGTAGCTACAACAGGTAATGCACCTGCAGTAAAAATCCGCAAGAAAGCGAGAGTGCACATGCAGATGGTTGAGGGTACGCGTCTTCGCGCTTGTTTGTTTGACGTGGTGAGCCTCATGACTCGTCACTGGGCGATATCTTCCCTGGACCGTTGTGGAAGCATGGGAACATGTGAGAAGCACTTGGGGAAGAAGAAGAGGGAGACAGAGAAAGAGAGAGAGAGAGAGAGGAACGGGAGAAGTAGTCTGAGGACGAGGGAGAAGGCCGAGGCTTCTTGAGGTTTGCTGAGGCTTTCTGGGGGGGGGGGCTCTTTGGGGCTTCTGGGGCATCTTAGGAGCCGCATGGGTCTTCTTGGGGGCCGCGATAATGCATCAAAGGCCAGAGGAAGATCAATGAGTTGGGTCTTTTAGGGCTCTCCTGGGGGGACTCTTGGAGCCCTTTTGGGCCGTCTCGGGGGCCCCCCTAGGCCGTCTAGGAAACATAATGCGAAACATGGGGCATGCCTGCGTGCTGTGCCCGTGCCCGTGCTCTGCCGTGTCGTGCCCATGCCGTGTCTCGTCTTCTGAAGGCCAAGCAGTTGCCGCCGTCCCGTGCCCGCGCGCTACACCTGTGCGTTGCCGTGCCGTGCCTGCACGTCAGGATGCGACATCGTTGCCGTGCCGTGTCGTGCCGACCGTGTGTCTCAGCATGTAGCGTTGGTTTTTAGGGTCGTCATGTCGGTCTACGGTAAATCAACGTCAGCTCACGCGTCGCAGCCCAAGGTGTAAGACACAACAGCAGTTATACCAGTTTTTGCATGTGGCCCGACGTGGGCATTCGGAAGGACCGTCATCTCGTGACTCGCAGGGAGGAGTTGACCAGTACAAGTGCCATATGTCGATCGGGGGGCACAGCACGCAGCGCTCGATTCCAACAGGCGTCGTTTTGCGTCCGCCCTCGTCGCACGCGTGCGATTGTGCCGGTCATGTGCCACCGCGGAAAGGCAATTTCAGACGGTTTCATTCTATAATGTCGTATTTCTCTCGACGCTGCCTTTGCCCAGGCCCGCGTGTCCGCACCCGGCAGCGAGCATCTTGCATGATCTCCTACGTGTGCCCTCTGAGTGACGAGTCCGCTCCAGCGGCGTTCCTTCTGGCACGTTGCTCCCGCACGCACGCTTCCGGGCTGGTACGCGTGCCCGTGCGAGCTTTCGTGTGCAGTGGGCGCCCGCGTGTGCCTCTACCACCGACTGAGCGCGGGAAGCTCTCGTGTGTCTGGAAGCGTCATTGCCGTCTCCTGTTCTCAGTGCGCCCGTCGCCATTCGCGGGTTTTCCCCCTTGAGGTTCTCATGGGACCACGCCTGGCACCCGGCATTCCCCTTGAGGAAACGATCAGTCGATCTCAGACAATGTATTTGGTGGTGCTTCCGAGGCTGCGCTCAACTTCCGCATTCTTGCGCGAAGCCTCCAGCGCGGCGCGCCTGCTGAAGTTGAACTTCGGTCCCTTCTCCACTTTCACTCTGGCCTCTTCCTCTACCTACTTCTCTCTCTTTCCTCCTCTCGGCCCACTCGATGCTATTACGCCCAGACTCTAACCTCTCAGCATCCCGCCACAGCGTAGCTTAGCTTCCTGAGTCTTGGCGGGGGCGCCTTCACCCGCGACCAGCAGGAGGAAGACGAGGAGGAATTGGGAGACGCAGGGGGCGAAGAGGAGGGCTCAACAAGTAGTAGGCATTCGACGCGGACAAGCTCAGTGGACCACCAGGGGACCGATTGTCGATGCTTTCTAGTAAGGCCTCGTAGCCACAGCGTTGGGTGGAACAGGAGAAAGTGAGGAGCCTCACGTTAACGTCAGCCCTGTCTTAAGGCTATCGGACTCCTCGGCTTCCCCGCCAGAGGAGGGAGGAGGGAGGAGGGAGGAGGGAGGAGGGAGGGGGGAGGGGGGAAGAGGGAGGAGGGAGGAGGGGAGAGGGAGTTGCTCGTGCTGACGAGCGACTCCTCCTCTCATGCTCGCGGGCGCGTCGTCCTGGCGCCGTGGCCCCGCAGGTGGCGATCGTGTGGGGCGGCCGCGAGCTCTGGCTGTGGAGGGGGCCGGAGCAGCCTGGCCAGCCTGGTGCGGCGCGGAGGGGCCTGGAGGCACCGCCACTGGCAGTCAATCGATCGAGGGGCTGTGGCATGCGTGCGCCGCTCGTCTGTGAGGAATGGCACCCCCAGCTGCCCAAGTCGCTGCCGTACCTTGCGCTGCCATGAGCTCCCACGACCTCTCGTGCCGCTCAGGAAGGCTGCGAAGCGATGGAGCCAGGGGGCTCGCGATGCTTTCGAACACCTTCACATGAGTCTTGTCTCTCTCTCTCTCTCTCTCTCTCTTTTTTATCTCTCTCTCTATAGATACAGGTATATGTTAGCCAGCGTGGACCCCAGACAGTTTGTTTCTGGCACTCCATGTTTGCAGTCCGCGTGGTGCAATTTACCCTACCGAGCGTAGAATTGACAGCTCCACTGCTCGCGCAATCTTCCCACCCACCCAGCCGCAACTTGGCTTGCAAAATCCATGCGGTGGCCACTGCGTTGACTGCTTGACGCTGGGTGGCACATCGCTGCGGCTTCGCTAGCGCGCGCAGGCCCACGCGCAGAGCGGCCAGCTAGCCTGGCGCGACCGACGCGGCTGCGGTGGCGCTGACCGCTGGAGATTTCCCCAGCGCGTCTCGCAGGTCGCGCTGGCGTGCGGGCACGTCAGCGCGAGTCGGTGACTCGTGCGGGCGCGGCATCTAGGCGATGTCAACAACAACGTCAACCACGATGATAGTAGCGATGCGGGTGACGACGATCACGTTGACGACGGCAAGGCGAACGATGGTGCCGATGCTGAACACGCCGGTGACGATGATGGTGTCCACGTGCCGGCGATGAAGTTTGTGTGAGGCTTTCGACATGCGCGCGCGGCCGTCGCGCGCAGATGCCCCGCGCAGGCGCTTTCGAATGATTTCGATATGCGCGCGCGACTGGCCCGTCATATTGCAATTGATGAACATGTTTAAGGTGTGAGGTTTGCTGGCGAATTCGCAATAGCGCGCCGATTTTTATGTATACACCATGCTGCGAAACCATGCGATTGCATATGTTTTCGGGACGCTCGACTTGGACATCCTTACGGAACCCGTGGTTTGTCAGTGATTCCAGCCTGCGCGCATGACGACGCGAGCGTGTGCGTTTCTGCCCGTCTTTGTCAGGGGTTATTCGAAATTTGTTTTTGACGAGCGAATGCGCTTCCACAGTATCATTTGACGAGGATAGGGGGGGATCGAACCTGGCTTGGGTGGGTTACGGTTGTCGGCGTCGCCATGATACCGCGCCCACCCCAGTCAACGACTCGCAGTGAAGTGCCCGCCGGGAAATGCCCAGCGGTCAGCGCCACCGCGGCCATGTCGGTCGCGCCGCACTGCGGGCCGCTGCGCGCGCGAGCATGCGCGGGCTAGCACGGCTGCATCGCAGAGGAGGAGGAGGAGGACGAGGAGGAGGATGATGATGATGATGAGGAGGAGGAGGAGGAGGAAGAGGAGGAGGAGGAGTATGAGGAGGAAGGCGAAGAGGAGGAGGAGGAGGTGGAGGAGGAGGAGGAGGAGGAGCAGGATGATGACGATGATGAGGAGGAGGAGGAGGAGGAGGAGGAAGAGGAGGAGGAGGAGGAGGGGGGCGCGCGTGGATGGCCGCCCTTGCAGCTTGGCTCCATGCCGCGAGAGGCGCGGCAGCAGTCCGGTCCCCTTGCCGCGGCCATGGCCGGTGGCGGCGCGAAACCGCCAACGCCGAGGTCGAGAAGTGCAAATGACTCACTGAAAACTACTGCTGGCCAGGCTCGGGCAGGGCTAGGACGAGGATAAGTTCGTTCCAGAAGGATCGTGAACGCTGTCAGAGCGTTCCAGAACGCTCTGAGAAGGCCGCGGCGCCCAAGACATTTTCCAGAACCGCCGAATCTCAGAGATCCTCGATTTATCTTCATCCGATGTTATCCTGGTCTTAGCTTCGTTTTTAGATTGCTCGGCCCCGTATGATATTGTAGATATCTGTGTATATATATATATAATATAATATATATATATATATATATTGTAGTGGCCTTCGGCCAGTGCCGCCGATCCGGGTCGCTCGGGGTTATTCTCCAGACGCAGAAATTATGGGCGCACACTCAAACGCACACACACAGTCACACCACTTAACCTGCGCCGCAGACATGCGCACACAGCATCACCCACACACACATACTAGTTGGGAAACGCACCTGTAGTACTAGTAGTAGTATTAGTAGTAGTAGTAGTAGTAGTAGTAGTAGTAGTAGTAGTAGTAGTAGCAGTAGTAGTAGTAGTAGTAGTGGTAGTAGTAGTAGTAGTAGTAGTTGTGTGGTAGTAGTGGTAGTAGTAGTAGAGGCCTCGTTCCGCGGCTTCTCTCGACTTCCCGCGGTCTCTCTCAAGTTTCGAGCACGCGGTGAGTTTCACGATATATGTGTGTGTATGTACGCGTGCATGCATGTATGCATGCATTGATCATGTGTGCCTGTGTGTAGGTACGTATGTATGTATGTATGCTTGTGCGCGTATGTATGTATTTAGTTTGTATGTATGTTTGTATGTGTGTATGATAATATGTGTGTATGTGTGTGAATGTAAGTATGTATGTCTGGAAGATTGTTTTTCTATGTATGCAAATGTGTTTAAATGTAGGTATGTATGCATGTGTGTATGGATGTGCGTTTGAAGAGCGAGGATGTTTCAAAGAAGAGGCACTCGGTGACGCGATCGTTGAGGGATAGGAGTGAGGTCGCAGAGGAGGAGGAGGAGAATGAGGAAGAGGCGATAACTTGAAGGAAAACGATGAGACGGAGGACATCCTGCCGGTGGCGCCCTGGGCGGTGCCGCGGAAGAAACCGGGGGCCTGCCGGAGGCAGTCTGGAGGCCTCTGGGGAGCTGTTTTGGGGCCTCTTGGAACCTCTTTTGGGCCTCTTGTGGGCTTCTTGGGGCCCCTTGGGGGTCTCTTGGGGCCTCCTGGGGGCCTCTTGGGGCGGAAAGCTCGGTTCTTTCGGTTCGTGGTCCCCCTCTTGGGCCCCTCTTGGGGCTCTCTTGGGGCCTTCTTGGGCTGTCCAGAGGCCCTCTTGGGCCGTCTTGGGGCCCTCTTGGGCCGTCTTGGGGCTCTCTTGGGCCGTGTTGGAAGCATCGTGGGCCGTCTTGGGACGGACTTGGGGGCCTCTTGGGCCGTCTTCGAGCGTCGGACGCCCGAAAAGGCAAGAACGCTAAAAACCCTGAGAAAACCAATGAAAATCAACGATTCTGGCCTCTTGGGGCCCTCTTGGGAGGCCTCTTGGAAGCTTCTTGGGGCGTCTTGGAGACACCTTGGGCCGTCTGGAGGCCATCTCGGGCGTCTTGGAGCGATTTTTCGGCGACTCGGGGCCCTCTTGGAACCCCTTGGGGGTCTCTTGGGCCCCCCCCCTCCTCCAAAGCGCCGGAAAAAGCGGAGCATGGCGCCCCCCCCCCCCCTATCTTCCACTCCCCCGGAGCGGCCCCGGGGTTCGCCGGAAACTCGCACCCCCCCCCCCCCCCCCCACCCCCCCTTCCCCGGCAGAGCCACCCCGGCGACCCCCCCAGAGGCTGAAGCTCAGCCTCGAGGCTGTAGCTGAGACTCCTTGAAACTCACACGCCGGATCGGCGGATATTCGGTGAACCCGTAACGTCCGTTACGGGGGGTAGCCCTCCTCCCCTCTTTTCCCACGCTCCCCGTACCGGAACCAAACGTACGCGGGGGCATGGCGCTGTGCTCACAGGCATTTTGTGGCGTTGAAAGTTATATGTTTTCGTGCTCGCAAGCATGCTGTTGCGCTCGCGGGCCCGACCCAAAACACTATCTTTTACCAGTGTGGAGCCCCCGGTGCGGGCCCGCAGGCTCTATACCTTGGCCCATGGGCCACGCGGCGCCTGGCCAGAGTCAGTGTCAGTGTATAGTTAGCGGTTCCATGCGAGGAGCCAGGTCCATGCCCAAGATGCTGCCCACGACGACAGCGACTTGCGGCTGCGCCCTGGAGACAGGGCAGGGAGTTTTGAGATTTACCTGGAGCTCCTGATGAAGGAGCACGACGAGCTGCGCCACGAATGTGCGCTGCTGCGGGCCAAAGTTGCCGAGAATCCCGACACGGATAACGAAGACGACGAAGACAAAGGCGGCTCCGACATCGCGAGCGAAAAAGTTGTGGATACAGGAAATGCCGTCGAGACCGTCGAGACCTCTGACCCTATCCTGATGAAACCGTCAAATAATTCTTTTGATGCTGGGAGGTCCAAGTTCACCAATGTGAATGTCTCGAAGTTCATGAACAAGTACAAGTCAATTTCCCATGCAGGTGGTTCAGGTCTTTTCCCTTTCCAGGGCGCGAAAGAAATCAAAAGCCAATTGAAGTGGGTGCGGCATCCCACTTTCTCGATCGCAGTCACCGGGGTAATCGTTCTAAACGCGATCTACATTGCAGTGTACTCATCAGTTGTCCTACAAAAAACACGCCAGATGAAGGGTAAAGCCGACTTGGAATACAAGGAGATGTGGATGATTGGCGACGTGATATTCGCGTTGGTTTTCACATCCGAGGTCGTCCTCAGGATACTTGCTTACCAGCTGAAGTTTTTCAAAGGAAGTCAGCGGTTATGGAATGCCTTTGATTGTTTGACATTGATCGCAACATTGGTAGCCCTTGCTTTCGATATAGCCCACGCGCCGCCGAATTTCTTCGTAAACTTTCTCAAGATGTTGCGACTTGCGCGTCTGGTGCGAGGCTTGCAGGCGTCCAAATCCCCGTACCTTCACACCCTGAAAACGCTGATGTACACTGTGGCGGGGAGTGCTAACGCGTTCCTCTCTGCACTACTGCTTCTGATAGTTGTAATTTCTGTGTTTAGCGTCATGTTCATGCAGGGGGTACAGAATTACCTCGAGGGGACCGACCAAAATCCCGAGACGCGGGTCGAGTTGGTGGATCGTTTTGGAACATTCAGCGATTCCGCCTACACCCTTCTCGCGTGCATTCTTGGTGGACTCAGTTGGGATGAGCTGTCGCCTGCGCTGGAGAGTATTGATTTGATGTACAGGTACTTCCTGGTTGTGTACATCACGTTTGCTGTCCTCTGCGTGTTGAACATTTTGAACGGTGTGTTCGTCAATGCCGCTATCGAATCCGCCCAGTCAAACAAGGAATTGGCCGTCCAGAATACCCATCACAAGATGATGGCTATGATTGAACAAGCTGTCAAATGGTTTGTTGAGGCAGACAAAGACGGGTCGGGAAAGATATCGTGGCAAGAGTTGCGCGATGTCATGAACGACGACGAAGTGCGAATTTTCATGTTAGCTAATGGCATCGACGTCGCGAGCGCTGGGAAGATCTTCCAGCTGTTGGACTCGGATGGCTCGGGCTCGCTCTCGCCCGAAGAGTTTGTAGATAACCTGATCACGCTGCAGGGCAACGCAAAAGCCATCGACGTGGCTTTTCTCCGAGAGGTGTGCGAGACGACCTCGAAGAGGGTCAAGGACTTGGAGGCTGTGCTCCGCGAGTGCGCCCCTCGGCTCGACAATGCGGAGCCGTCGAACCGCACCGGCACCATTTCAATCTGAGGCCCGCCCATTCCTTCGGAAGGCTGGAGCAGCTGCCTGCTGTTCAGAGGGCTTTGGAGCTGGTGGCCCAGCATTGATCCCAGCCAGCAGAAAGGTGTGGTAGGTTCGAGGAGGTTTTGGGGTGGGGTAGGTTTCTTGCCTTTTTCTACCTCCGGGGGAGTGTTTTCGGTTTCTGGGACGGTCAGACTCGGATCCAGGGCAACAAATTACACCAGATGGACCCCGAGAGGGGTCTGGGGACCGATGTTGAGCGAATTTGGCTTCATCCCCCCTCCTGACCAATTTTCTGGGGTTCCAACCAGTTCAGACCCCCCTGGCCGCCTCCACAGAGGGCTTCTCGCAGTTGCACGCGCGAGACAACTCATCCACGTGCCTGCGAGCTGGTTTATCCCATACTTCAGGCTCTGCATGATGTGTCCAACTCCGTGTTAAAAGGCACGGGACAGTTGCAGCTCGGCGATGCGACCTCAGATATTGCTCATGGCAAGTGCCTAGTACTTGCTGGAGGGGTGCGTCTGCGTCCCAAAAAATTGAGGATGGCCCGGGTGAAGTGGCCGTTCAGTTTCGAATGCCGACAGGAAGTCGGACATGGCATCTGTTCTAGGCGCTTCGCGTAACCCCTTCAGCCCATCCACAAGCGATTTCCAGGCGAGATGGCTTGATCAGGCATGTTGGGGAGCACGCAGTGGGACAAAGGCTGGGAAGCCGTCATACCGCAAGCTGGGGAGGATAGGGAGAACGATAAGGGGATAAGGAGGAAGAGGAGGAGGAGGAGGAGGAGGAGGAGGAGGAGGAGGAGGGGGTGGAGGAGGGAGGAGGGAGAAGGGAGGAGCCAGGAGGAGGAGGAGGAGGAGGAGGAGGAGGAGGAGGAGGATTTGGCAGATGAGGAAGGAGAGAAAGAGGAGGAGGAGGAGGATAATGGCGAACAGGAAGACCAAAGGTCTCTTGGATGCTTCTCGGGGTCTCTTCGGATGTCTCTCGAGAGCTTCTTGTAGGCCTGTTGAGGCGCCTGGGGGCCTGAAACGTCTTGGGTGCCTCGGAGGGTCCTCTTGGGGCCTCCAGGGGGTCTATTCGCAGCCTCTGGGGTGCACTTTGGGGGCATCCTGGGGGCCTCTTGGGACCTCCATGGTGCCTCTCGGGGCCCTCTTGGGGCACCCTCGGGAGCCTCGGGGGCCATGTCTGAGGTGATCGGTCAAAGGGGGGGGGGGTACTTCATGGACGTTCCCCCCCCACAGGAGGCCAAAACTTGCCCCAAACCATAGTATGATCACTGATTTGGGCCTTCTCGCCGAGGCCATCTTGGACGCCCGAACGACCCGCGAACCTCCCTCGCCAGACCCCGGGCAGACCCCGGGGGAGCGGGTGGGGACACCCTTCCCCGAAGGGAAAGAACGGGGGATTGGAAGAGGAAGCGCTCTAAACCACTCGCGCCCTAAAGGCCTGGTGGGATTCCCCAAACAGTTCTTGCACTTGGGGGTCTCATTTCTCCTCTAAGGAAATGGGCTGGTGTGGCGGTCTGGCGTCTATGTTGTCGCCGTCGCCGCCCCGTCGCCGCCTCGTCGTTGCCCGTCGTCTGGGCTGGTGTGGCGGTCTGGCGGCAATGTTGTCGCCGTCACCGCCCCGCCCCCGCCTCGTCGCCGCCCGTCGTCTGGGCCGGAGTGGCGGTCTGGCGTCTATGCTGTCGCCGTCGCCGCCCCACATAGATTGCACAATAGATATTGCACAACGTAATTGCGCAATCTATGTAAGTACATATATATATAATATACCCCTGCCAGGGGTTATCCGTACCCGTTTTCGTACGGCAATGCGAAGGTGACGGAATGCGCACGCGCGCGTCGTCGCGCGTGCATGCCGACATTTGTTTGACCAACCCAGAAAACATGTTTAAACCAAATGGTTTCGCAACAGGGATTTTCAAAAAAGATTGCGCGCGCATTCCTTGCGAATTTTTAAGAAAACCGCCGGATTTTCAACATTTTCAGAACATGCTGCCAAACGGGCTTCACGCGCGAGCATGTCGAAATTGTTCGAACGCCCTTGCGCGCGTGCTGTCGCGAGTATCCTTTGCCACAGACGGGACGAAGTGCACGCGCGCGCGTCGTCGCGCGCGCATGCCGAAATCCATCAAAAACTTTCGGTCCCCAAGGATTTCAAAACCAAGTACCCCGAAACCATACAAAAAAACATCTGGTTTCGCAACATCCGTTTGCAAAACAGCGTCCGTTGTGTGTCTGGGTGCTGGGGGGGTGGGGGTACGTGCGTCTGTGTGTGTGAATGTGTGTGTGTGTTTGTGTGTATGTGCGTGCGTTTTGGGCGCAGCAGTATCCCCTCGGAGGTGCGGCGGCCCCTGCACAGGTGGGGCTGGCCCGAGCGGCCTCGGAGGCCGCCTTGGGCCCTGGTTGCTCCCTCCAGGGGTCGGGGCTGGACAGAACCCCCAACAGTGACACGTCGATTAGTGAATTGTCCGTTTTCGGTTCTCGAGAGGGCGCCGTGGCCGTTGTTTTCCAGGTTTGCGCCCGCCAGGTTTAGGCCTCAGGTCGTCTTCACTAAACCACGTTTTGCTAAAGGGGGGTCTGTCCGTCCCCGACAGGGGTCTAGCCCAACACCCAGCCTCTTGAGGCTAGGGCAGGCGGCCAGGAGGACCCCCAAACCCCTGGCGCTCAAAGGCGCTCCTTGCCACGACATCTACCTCGTGATCACGTTCCGCTTCTGACTGGGCCGAGGGGCCTGCGAGCCGGACACACAAAGCCTCACCGGGTGAAAAAGCATTGATATAATTATTTTGGCGAAGGACCCAACCACATGCAATTGTGCGTACCGCAGTTGTGAGCCCCTTCGGTGGAGCTCCCTGTGGGGCCACGAAATTCGCGAGGGGTGAGCCGAAATGGGGGCGTTGGCGCCATGCGAACCCTGCCAGTGGGGCCTTCGGTGGAGCTCCCGAACCTTGCCGCTGGTGCTTTCGGTGGAGCCCCCTATGGGGCCACGAATCGTGTGAGGGGTCTGCCGAAATGGGTGCGGTGGCGTCATGCGAACCCTGCCACTGGGACCTTCCGTGGAGCTCCCTATGGGGCCATGGAGCGTGTGAGGGGTGCACCGAAGTGGGGCGGGGCCGCCGTGCGAACTTTGCCACTGGGGCCTTCGGTGGAGCCCCCTATGGGGGCACGAGCCGTGTGAGGGGTACGCCGAAGTGGGGCGGGGCCGCCGTGCGAACTTTGCCATTGGGGCCTTCGGTGGAGTCCCCTATAGGGGCACGAAACGTGTGAGGGGTACGCCGAAGTATGGCAGGGACGCCGTGCGAACTTTGTCATTGGGGCCTTCGGCGGAGCTCCCCATGGGGCCACGAAACGTGTGAGGGGTGCGCTGACATGGGGCAGGGCCGCCATGCAAACTTTCCCACGGGGGCCCTCGGTGGAGCCCCCTATGGGGCCACGAAACGTGTGAGGTGTGCGCCGACATGTGGCGGGGCCGCCATGCGAACCCTGCCACTGGGACCTTCGGTAGAGCTTCTCGTGGGGCCACGAAACGTGTGAGGTGTTCGCCGAAGTGGGGCGGGGCCGCCATGCGAACTTTGCCACTGGGGCCTTCGGTGGAGCCCCCTATAGGGCCACGAAGCGTTTGAGGGGTGCAAGGGATGGGAGGAGCGGGAGGAGGAGGAGGAGGAGGAGGAGGAGGAGGAGGAGATGGAGGAGGAGGAGGAGGAGGAGGAGGAGGAGGAGGAAGAGGAGAGGAAGAACGGAAGCAAGGAACGCGGGGCGTTGTCTCTTCAAAACGAGGATGGTTGGTAAACAGTGCGCTCGCGCTCTTGCAAAATCTTACTTAAGTCATATAGTGCTCAACATGTCCATAATCTGCTCCCAAGCGGCCTCTCTCGCGCGCGCATGTCGAAATCATTCGAACGCCACTGCGCGCGTGCTGTCGCAATGATATGATGCAACCAATGGGACGAAGTGCACGCGCACGCGTCGTCGCGCGCGCATATCAAAATCTTTCAAACGCATTCTGTTTCGTCCAGGTTTCAGAATCGAGTGTCCCAACAACATATACATCATATGATGTTGCAGCATCCGTTTTTCAAACACAGCCCACGCGCTCACTTGCGAATTCTCAAGGGAAGCTTAGGTGGGTCAACATTGACATTTAATTCTGCCGAACGGGCCTTTCGCGCCGCATGTCGATCTCATCCGACCGCCCTTGGGGGGGGGGGGGGGCGAGGCACGATCCGTGTCAAAGATCACCACGCGGGCCGCCGCTCGCGCGCGTCGGCCGCGCGCGCATGTCGAACTCCTTCCACAATTTTCATCACCGACGCGGGGGCATCGTCATCGTTATCGGCGGGCGTGATCAATATCGGCGCCGTCATTGGCCTTGCCGTCGTCGTCGGTACCATCGTCACCATCATCGTTACTCCTACCGACCGCCTACCTACCTACCGCACTGACGTGTATGGTGTTGCGACCAGGCGGATTCGAGAAGCTTGGATGGCCAAGCGTAACTACGTTCGCTCCCGTATCCCCACCAGCCCATTGAGCTTTTGCTTGAGGCTTCGTGGAGCCATCTTGAGAATCTCTTGGCGCTCGCGTTGGGGTGTGTGCAGCCTTCTGGCAGCTCGTTGGCCTTTCGCAGTTCCTTCGCAGCGCTTCCCGAGCTCCTGCGAAGCTTCTTTCTCGAGCTTGCAAGCTCTCCAGACATTATTTTCATGAGCGCTGCTCCCTTCCCTTCACTCTCTCTCTATCTCTCGATACTGGCACGCGGGACGCTGATCTGTCTGCTGGGTCGGGGGAGGGCGTGGAGGTTCGGGGGGGGGGAAGACGTCGGGAGCGCGGCTGGTGCCCAGGCGTTTCGCTCGGCCGCCCCTCTCCTCTGATTGTTTTGAGGAGGAGGGGGCTGAGGCGGAGGCCTTCCTAGAGGGCTCGGGCGGCCACTCGGTCTTTCTGAGCCTGATTCCGGAGCAGCTCCGTAAGGAGGAGGATGAGGATCCTCCTGTGCTTGCCACAGCGGCCGATGGCGGTTCGTCGGACTGCATATGATGTAATCGCTTCGCTCATTCCGCCGACCAGTATTGTGCCATCGTTGGCGTTTGCGTGCGCGTCCGTGGGCCATGCGACGTTGTTGGTCGGCGCTGCTGCGGTTGTGGGTGAGAGTCCCCATGGATGCTTGTTGGTGTCTCTTCGCAGGCTTTTCGGGGGGCTCCTCTGCAGCAGCTTTAGGGTCTCTTGGGGGCTTCCTGGGGGCGCATTGGTTCCCTCTTGGAGCTCTCTTGGCGCCTCTGGGGGGCCTCTTCGACCCTCTTGGGCGCCTCTTGGGGCCGAGAGCTCGAAGAACCCGTTGGGCTACCTTCTTCTGGCCCCCCTCCTGGGGCCGTCCTGGGGATCTCCCTGCCCGCTTTGGAGGCATCCGTGGCGGTCTTGGGGCCGTCTCGGGCCGCGGTGGGGCTCGTCTGCCGTCTTGGGGCGATCTTGGGGGCCTCTGGGGCTCTCTTGAAGTGTGGGGAAGCCGAAGAGGCGAGAACGCGGCCGAACATGTGAGAACGCTGAAAACCTTCACGAACCAATGAAATCGAAATCGCTGAATTTTGGGAGAAGTCTTGGAGGCATCTTCGGGCGTCTTGGAGGTAGTTGAATCCGCCTGGAGCCTATCTTGGGCATCTTGGAACGGCTTCCCGTGACTTTGGGCCCTCTGAGACCGCCTTGGGGGCCTCTCGAGACGATCTCGAAGGCCCCGCAGGCAGCTCCCAGGAGTGCCGGCATCCGTGGCGGGGACCGCCCTGGATTTGCATGGGGTATTTGTCGTCCAGGGACCCCCCATGGGCAGCCACGCGCGCGGGAACTAGAAGTTCAGTGTCCGACGGCAGTTCGTCGGACCGAACATGATTAATTTGACGTTGTTGCGAAAACGCAGACATCAGTTCAAGCGTTTTTGCAAGCGTCATCCACAGGCTTTCACGCGCGTTGGACCGCCCCGCTATCCGGGTTTGGGATGCCACAAGTTGGTACCAAAAAAGGGTGCCTCAAGAGGGCTCGCCGCTTGGAGGCAGAACGATTGTTGCTGGTTGGTGAGTGTTGGAAGTTCTTGGAGCGCTCGTGGGGACCTGCGAGGCTGTCGTGGAGCGCTGCTGGACTCCTCTCTGGGCTCCTGTAAGGGATCCTCAGGCCTCAGAAGCCCTTCGGAAGCGAAAAAGCGAGAAGGCCACCATCGTAGGGCTCTCTGGGGGTTTGGGCCTCTCTGGGGTGCTAGTCTTCGGGAGGCTGGAAGGCCACTTGGGGCCGTCTTGGGGTCTTCGGCCGTGTCCCAGCCTTTTCTGGAGCCGACTTTCAGGACGTCTTGGGAATCTGGGAGATATCAGAGAGTGGATTCGGAGGGCCCAGGAGAGGCGCTGGGGAGCTCGCGCCCCTCCCTCTCCACTCCCCCCCAGTCTTATCACAGTGGATTGTGGACCCCCGGGACGGGGAAAGGAGGAGGGGGCAGCCAATCATCGCACGCTCCCTTCCACCACTGGCAGCCAAGGGTCGGTGGATTTGCAACGTAACGAGATCATCGACCATGAGGAAGAGCAGCAGGGGATAGCGAAGGTATAGGGGAGGAGGTGAGGATGCAGGCAAGGAGGAAGGGGAGGATGGCATATTGATTATGACCTCACCCTCTGACTTTCTGGCGTTGCCCTTGAGAGGTTCTCGCTGGTGCAGCGCGAATGCAATCTTGCAGGCACCAGTCCCTACTCGCGGCGCCTCGGATGTCATGTATCGCAGTCCAGGCGACAAAGTAGCAGCGGTTGTGACTGAACGGCACATGAGTTAGGGGAATCGCGCATGGCATTGTGGAAACCGACTGACGTCACGAGGCCTATGGGCGTATATGTTCTTAGACGCTTTTTTTTGTTCATTTGAATTGTCTGTGCCACGGTGGCGCGCCCTCCCGTTCCATCTGATCTTTATTAGCTATTTGGTTTGTTTTCCTGTTTTCCTTGCTCTCTGGCTTCCTTGTAGTTGGGCTTTGGTTCTGCCCGTTTAACTGCCTTGCAGATCGGACACCTGGTCCCGCAAGCCCCTCTCGCTGCGACAGTGACATCACTGCGACGCAGGTTTCAGAGCCACGGTGGCAAGCATCGCAAAGTTGTTTCCTCCTCCCGCCAGTCCCTTTCTCAGGAGCGAAAAAAACACACTAGCCACTAGCAGTTGTGCTTTCCATGCGACGAGGGCTTGTTCTCTTTACGTGAGTATCCCTTCACGGATTTACCCGTTTCCTTTTACACGTGAGTTTGTTTTCTAGTTTTTCACGTGTATTGTTGTCTTTTCCATCCTGAACTTGCGTTTGCCTTTCGAGTGTTCCTGTGTGAATGTGTATGTGTGCGTTCTAGCGTGGATGCGTTGTTTGTTTCCCATGTAAACGGTATGTTCCTGTCATCTGGAATTATTATAGATATGTACATGTGTGTTGTTTGGTAGTGTGGTGTTCTTATCCCCTACTACTGCAGCCTGAGTAAATTCGGGCGTTCTCTCCTGGCGGTTGCGCGCGGGGGAGCGCGGGCCGGACCAGCGCCTGGCTGTACCACGCACCATCGGGAATCTTAAGAAAGTTCGTTTTGCTGGATCATCGCACAGCACAATAGCTGTCGATCTCAGGTTTGCGATGTGACGGAGAACATAATCGCTGATCAAAGATGTAGTCCTCCCTCCTCGCAGGCAGCCAGCGCGCACGCGCGGGGGCGAGGAGGAGAAGGTAGAATTCTGCTCGGTAGCAAGTTTTGGGAGCTTCGCATGTCCTCGCAATTCCCTACTTCAAGTGCGGTAGCGTGCGCTAGCGTCTGGTCATCGATGCGTGAGCGCCGATTTAGCGCCGATGAGCGCCGATTTAGCGTCGATTGGCGTCGATTCGCTAGAGCCAGCAAGATGGTCTGGTGGGCTCCCGTGGGTTGCTACCGACACCCGCCGAGAGGCGGCGGCGCGGGCACACGAGCTGCCTGCCGCGGCGGCGGGGGCGCGACGAGCTGCCTGCCGCCCCCTCCTGGCCCGCTCGTGGTGCCTCGGTTGGCCACCGCTGCCCTGGGCTGCACGACGAGCTGCCTCCCCCTCGATCGCCTCCGACCGAGCTGCAGCACCGCTCGAGATCGGTGGGGAACGCTCCCCGTCGCCGCCGCCGCGGCCTTGAGCAGCCTGCCGTGGAGCCAGCGGGCGCCCGGAGCCGCCGCCGCCCAGCGGCGGAGGACAGGTCGGGGTCGGCTCCCGGGCGCCCCAGGCGAGGCGAGCGAGCTCATCCTCGGCCGTCTCGCCGGGGCGGGACCTTGTGGGAGGTGGCTGGCCTGGCCCGAAGCAGGCCCAGGCGGGTCCCGTGTGGACGCGCGGCGCGCTGTCGTCAGCAGCGGCACCGCAAAGCGCCGGCACCCCACAGCATACGCTTCAGTGGCCGCGAAGGGAAGGGGTCCGGAGGGAAGCGGGTCCCAGGCTGCGGGGCGTTCTTCGCGACCAGCTCTTCACCCCGAGAGGTATGCCTTGACGGTCCCGGGGCCCATGGTGGAGGGCCCCAGGGGCCCGAAGGACGGCGAAGAGATCCACGACCCGCGTCCTCCACGGGCTCGTATCCTTCACGCGGAGGCCTGCGTCCGAGTGGTATACTTGCACACTGTGATATGTGCAACCTTTGGAGGAAAAGGAAGCGTCTGATTGGAAGACGGATGTTCGCGACCACCGCCCGATGGACGGGACAGCGCTCCCCGTTCGTGCCCCTTCCTCCCCGATCTCCCTGGCCTCCCCCGCCCGTTCCCCCCTGTCCCATCTCCCGTTCGACTTCCCCCTTTCCCTGTCCTAGGACCCTTCCCTCCCCCTTTCCTGCATGTTCTTGTCGTCCCTCTTTTCCCTGCGCCGATTTCCCGCCTCGTCGGGAGGTGGAGCGTCTTCCCTTTTCATATCATTCCCAGCAGCTCCTTTGGTCATACATTGAGTGAACGAAGTGAGGGCCACTGGGATGTCCCAGGAGGATGAAGAGGAGGCTGGGTGAGGGGTAATCAGGAGCGAAACAAGGACGTCCACGTACAGGAATCCACGTTGGTTCCCAGAGTACGCATTGCGCGAACGTTCGCATCGCGAGGCTGGTCTCGCGGACTGGGTGGCCGTGTTCATGTACGTGGTTGGGCGCGTACGTCCCGTGTGGGCTCCTTGGGTAAGTGAAGAGAGACAGACGATGGGGACGTGGGATATCGTGGAAGACATTATGCCGCAGCCCGTTGGGCGAGATCTGCCTTCTCGCCCACCTTCCCGTGGACACAACAATGATTTAGGGCGGATGCAATCAATTTTCTGGGATGAGGTCCACTTTGGTTCCAGATGTGGATCGATGTTCGTTCGGTCCGTACACGGGTTGTGGCGCTACAGTCTTGACTGTACGACGTCAGGTGTTCGAGGTCCCCCCAAGTATAATCTTAGCGAAGGGTTTCTAAGTGGGCAGCAATGCAATCCGAGGGGTTCCCTCCTAGGTGATATTCTGTGAACGGAGCGGAAAATCATTCTGCCCATTCGAAGATGTGATTGGGAGTTTTTCCGGTCTGGACTCAAACACTTTGGCAGTGCTCCGCATGTGACTTGTGTGATTGTCTCAAGCAAGCTTGGGAGGATGTGAGAAAGGGCGGGCCTTCTCTGAAGGCTCGGAAGTCCCCTAGCTTTCTCAGAAGTGTTTCGAGCCTTTCCCGAAGATGCAGAAAACTTCTCCGAAGGCGCGAGGGCTTCTGAGCAGTCCCGCCGCCTTCTGAGAAGGCCTTCTCCTTCTCACCTCCCCCCCTCCTTGCCCGCCGCCGAGATTTCGACGACGAGGGCCCGCGAATGCGGGAAGGGGGCGCGTGTCTGGGTCCGCGTCGGGCGCGTGGGCGGCACGCGGTGCCCCGAAGTGTGCACCGTGAGGGCCTCGCGGCCTGCGCCGCCCGCCGCCTTCGAAAGGCGGGGGACCTCCCCGGGGTACTCCCGTCGGCCCCCCCCCCCGCGGGACCCGCCCGCACCCCGGGGGGGGGGGGGAGGCGGGTCCCGCGGGGGGGGGAGGAAGTGAGAATGGGAATCGAGCAGTGGCGGGGCGTCCTGGCGCGCCTATAGGCCCCGCCGTCGCCGTCGTCGTCGTCGTCGTCGTCGTCTTCTGCCTGCCTCCTCTCCTCCCTCCTCCCTTGCCTTTTGCTGTCTCCCTCCTCCATCCTCCCTAGCCAGGTAGCAGGGGAAGTGGTAGCAGCAGAGCAGGGAGTGTGCGGACGATGAGAATGTTCCAAGAGCCTTGCCTTTTGTGGTCTGCACGACGTGGTCTTGGGACGTTGCTGGCTGGGACTGTCCTGTTTTCACACATCGGGCTGATGTTCTAAGGGTCGTGTTTTTGTGACTCGAACACTCTCGGGAACATGTCGTGGTAGGCGTATGTGCATGCCGGGACTGTCGGTCCCTGCTCAAGAGGAGGCCTTCTCAGAAGCCGACTGGACTTCTCAGAAGCCCCTCGCGCTTTCGGAAAAGTTGTTTGTTGTGTCTTCGGGGAGAACTTAGAAACCTCAGAAGGCCAGGGGGCTTCCGAGCCTTCTGAGAAGGCTTTCTTCTTCCCCTTTCCCCCCCCTCGATGGTCGCAAAATTATGACGGTCGGTAACGGTCAGTAGCATTCGTGCCGACCGTTCCCGATCGTTGCCGAAACACGTTGTTCTTCGGTACCGAAACACGTTGCTTCTCGGAAGCGGGTCGCGACCGTTCGTCCCCGATCTGTTCCCAATTGAGTTTTGAAGAGGCAGCGCCCCGCGTTCCTCTCCTCTCCTCTCCTCCTCCTCCCGCTCTTCCCTCCTCCCGTCACCCCCTCGCGTTGGCACACCCCTTCGCACGTTTCGTGGCCCCAGAGAGAGCTCCACCGAAGTTCCCAGTGGCGCAGTTCGAATGCGTCTTGCCCGCCCGATAAAGAGCTTCATCGCCCAGGGAGCTCCACCGAAGGTCCCAGAGGCGCAGTTCGCATGCGTCTCCCCCGCCCAGTACAGCGCTTCGTGTCCCCAGAGGGAGCTCCACCGATGGTCCCAGTGGCACAGCTCGCATGCGTCCCCGCACCCAGTACAGCGCTTCATGGTCCCAAGAGAAAACTCAACAAAAGGTCCCAGTGGCGAGTTCGCATGCGTCCCCCCCAATCCATACAGGTTTTCGTGGCACCATAGGGAGCTCCACCGAAGGCCCCAGCGGCGCAATTCGAATGCGTCTTGCCCACCCAGTAAAGAGCTTCATCGCCCAGGGAGCTCCACCGAAGGTCCCAGAGGCGCAGTTCGCATGCGTCTCCCCCACCCAATACAGCGCTTCGTGCCCCCAGAGGGAGCTCCACCGAAGGTCCCAGAGGCGCAGTTCGCATGCGTCCCCGCAGCCAGTACAGCGCTTCATGGCCCCAAGAGAAAACTCAACCGAAGGTCCCAGTGGCGCAGTTCGCATGCGCCCCCCCAAATCAATACAGCTTTTCGTGGCACCATAGGGAACTCCACCGAAGGCATCAGTGGCGGTGTTCGCATGCGTCTCCCCCACGCCTTACAGCGTTTCGTGGCCCTTATGGGGAGATCCAACAAAGGTCCCAATGGCGCAGTTCGCATGCGTCTTCCCCACCCAGTACAGAGCTTCTTGGCCCCATAGGGAATTCCACCGAAGGTCCCTGTGGCGCAGTTCGCATGTGTCTCCCTCACCCAGTACAGCGTTTCGTCGAAGGCCTCAGTGGCGGTGTTCGCATGTATCTCCCCCACCCAGTACAGCGTTTCGTGGCCCCATGCGGAGCTCCACCGAGAGCCCTACTGGCAAAGTTCGCATGCGCCCCCCGCACCCAGTACAGCGCTTCGTGGCCCCATTGGAAGCTCCACCGAAGGCACCAGTGGCGCAGTTCGCATGCGCCCCCCCCACGCCTTACAGCGTTCCGTGGCCATCAGGAGCTCCACGGAAGACGATACCCACACTTTCGGTACTCACAACTGCATATGCGTGGGTTCTTCGCCAGGCTAAGTGTTTCTCACGCGGTCTCGGGGGTGACACGTGTCACCCGTTGCTTTTCTGAGGCTGCCTGACCCCATGTTGACTCCCGGGATCCCAAATTTACAATTGGTTGTTCTCATACGGTTTCGGCGGTGACGCGTGTCACCCAGTGCTTTTCTGAGTCGGACTGAGCCCATGTTGGTTCCCAGAATCTCGAATTTCGAGTTTTGAGGAGACAGAGAGCCTTGCGTCTCTTCTCCTCTCCTCCTTCCTCCTCACTGCCCACTGCACCCGGCACAGCGCTCCGAGGCCCCATCGGGAACTCCACCGAAGGCATCAGTGGCGGTGTTCGCATGCGTCTCCCCCACCCAGTACAGCTTTTCGTGGCCCCAAATGGAGCTCCACCGACGGTGCGCCCCCCCCCCCCCCACCACACACACCATACAGCGTTTCGTGACCCCACAGGGAGGTCCACCGAAGGCCTCGGTGGCGGTGTTCGCATGCCCTTCCCCCGCCCAGTACAACGTTTCGCGGCCCCATGGGGAGTTCCAGCGAAGGTCCCAGTGGCGGTGTTCGCGTGCGTCCCCCCCGCCCAGTACAGCGTGCCGTGGCCCCATACGGAGCTCCACCGATTGCCCTGGTGACGGTGTTCGCATGCTTTTCCCCCACTCAGTACAACGCTTCGTGGCTCCATAGCGGGGCTCCACCGAAGGTTCTAGTGTCGGTGTTCGCATGCGTTCCCCCACTCAATGCAACGTTCCGTGCCCCCACGTGAAGCTCCACCGAGAGCCCCAGTGGCGGTGTTCGCATGCGTTTCCCCTACTCAGTACAGCGCTCCGAAGCCCCATAGGGAGCCCCGCAGAAGGCCCCAGTGGCGGTGTTCGCATGCGTCTCCCCAACCCGGTGCAGCGCTCCGTGGCCCCATAGGGAATTCCACCGAAGGCTTCAGATGCGTCTCCCCCACCAAGTTTACCGTTTCGTGGCCCCATAGGGAGTCCCACCGAAGGCCTCAGTGACGGTGTCCGCATGCGTCTCCCACAACTCATTACAGCGTTTGCTTGCTTGTTGGCCGCCTCGGGCACGGGCAACGCCGCCAGCCAACATCACTGCGGTTCATTTCCAGCACTCGATGCTCGCACGCGGCGCCGAAACACGTTTTGCTTGCATCCACCATTTTTTCCTCAGCTCTTCTCTCCTTCCCTCCGCCGTCATCCTCCTGTTTTTTTTGTTGTCTAGCTTCGGGATCACTAGGTTCGTAGCGTTGGTGCTGGCGCTCTTCGGCGTGCTCAATACCCCCCAGAGGCGCCTTTCAGACGGCCCCAAGGCTCCAAAGACTTAACCCCAGGACTCAACGATCCCCGAAGATTTTTCCGCGTAGACCAATCACAGGCTCCCCAAGGGCACCCAGCCCCCAAGATGTCCCAAGTAGCGCCCGAGGAGGGCCGAAGAGGGTCCCAAGCCGGCCCAGGGCAACCCCAAGATTGCCGCCATTGGAGCCCAAGAATGACGGCCCAAGAGCGCCCAGAGATGTCCCAAGAAGGCTCAAAGACGGCATAGGAATGCCCAAGGGGACTGAACGTGGCCCGAAGAGGCTGCCAGACAGTCCCAAGAGGACTCCACAACGGCCAGCACCCGCTGGCCTAATTGCTTGCGACCGACTAGAACCTTAAGCGTGCGCGAAGCGCGCGCGTGGTTGTATATAATATGCCAGGGTGCCGGGGGCCCGGGGCCAGGGCCAGGGCCAGGACACCCTCCCAGAATTTCCCCCTCCCCCATCCCCCCTCCTTTTGGCCTCCGACATTTTGACCCCTTCCGGGGCCTCCCGGGCCTCCCCCCCGCCGTTCGAAACAGCTCCGGAGGCCACCACCAAAAGATCAGAGCGGCCTGACAGGGCTGAAGACGCCTGAATATTGTTTCAAGACGGGTCAAGAGGTTCCGAAGACGTCTCAAGAAGGCTCCTGCGTCCCGAGAGAGCCCCAGGATTCAACAGTTGTCCCATCCTTTCGGCAAACACGCATTTTAGCATATTCGCATTTTGGGTCTCAACACCGTCCAAACGGCTTAGAAACCCCAAAGATCACCCCAAGAAGGCCCAAGAGGCAAGAGGGCCCCAGGCCAGCCCAAGAGAGCCCCAAGACGGTCCAACAGGCGCCCAAGACGGCCCGATAGGGCCCCAAGAGGGATCCAAGAGGGGGACTCAAACTGACATTTCGAGCCTTCCGCTCCAAGTGGCCGACCCTCAAGAGGCCCCCAAGGGTTCAAAAGATGCCCCCAAGAGGCCCCAAGAAGCTTCAAAAGTCGCGCCACGAGGTGCCCGAGAAGCATGCCAAAAGACAGGTGTCCGAGAATCCCCTGGCCCCAAACTCAGGCACAGTAGCGATGTGGGCCGAAGGCTTTGGAGAAGCCAGCAATTGGCTTGGCGACGGATCCCTGTGCAGTCATTTGTAGCGCGGGGCGCGGGTCTCTCTTCATAGACTGCACGCCGCGGGGCATCGCGGAAATGGGGCTGCTGCAGAGCTTGCGTGCACGGGTTCGCTGAACTCTTTGTGGGGCACGTTCCGCGTGAAGGCGTGCCGAGTAATTCGGATGCCCCCGAGCGAACACGCCCACTGAGGCCACAGGTCGACCTCCTCTGGACTCGACCCGTGCGAGGCATGTTCCGAAATGGGCGGGGCGACGCCATGCGAAGCTGTCCATTGGTGCCATAGGTGGAGCTTCTTCTGGGGCATGATGTGCGTGACGGGTGTGCCGGCATGGGGGGGGACGTTGTACGAACCTTGTCTTTGGGCCTTTAGGTGGTGTTCCTTCTGTGTACGATCTGCGTGGTGGGGTGTGCCGCTATGGGCGGAGGGGCGGCATGCGAACCCTACCTCTGGGGCCATGGGTGGAGATCCCTGTGGGCCACGACCCGTGCGAGAGGTGTGCCGAAGTAGGCGGGGGGGCGGCATGCGAACCTTGCCTCTGGGACCGTCCGTGGAAGTCCCTGCGGACCACGATCCGCGCGATAAGTGTGTCGAAGTAAGCCAGGCGACGCTATGAAGCTCCCCTCTGGTGCCGCAGATGCAGTTACGTGCTGGGCACGATCCGCGCGAGAGGCGTGCCACTATGCGAACCTTGTCTCTGGGGACATAGGTGGAGGTCCCTGTGGGGCGCGATCCTTTTGAGGGGTGTACCAGCATAGGCGGGGGTACTCTTAAGCCAAGCCTGTATATGGGGCCGTCGGTTGATCTCCATGAGCTGCACGATGCGCGAGACACTATGTGTCCTCCGACGCCGAGCACTGTAGAGTACATTCAGAGCTTGCTAGAAGCCAAGCACGCGCGAAGCGCGCGCGCGTGGTTCTAGCAGATAAATATCGAGCCTTTTGGGCCAGATTTCAATCCATATCCAGTGCGCCTCATGTTTCTGGGGAAGAGAGCCCGAAACTCCAAGACGCACTGGATGTGGATATAGACATTGCCCGCAGCCAGGGAGCAGATTCCTAGGATGTCTCAAGGGGGGTCGCTGGCTTCAGCCCCCCAAAGCGGGAGCCGCCAAGGGGGTCGGACATTCGCCCGTTCGCGCGGGGCGCCTTTTTATTTTGCACTTCAGACTGATGCTGTCCAGTCGGAGCCCCAGGATCACCTCGGCTTAGGGAAGTGGACGGCCGCCAGGGAGCAGCAGGGAGGACAGAAGAGGAATTTGGGAGGGCGCAGGAGGAGGGAGAGCGGAGGAGGGAGGAAGAGGGCGGAGGGGCTACGGCGAGGAGGAGGAGGAGGAGGAGGAGGAGGAGGAAGGAGGAGGAGGAGGAGGAGGAAGGAGAGGGGAGGAGGGCCGCAAGGAAGGGGGGCACCGGCCATGGATGAGGAGGAGGACGAGGGAGGGCGGAGGAGGATGAAGGACGAGGAGGAGGGAGGAGGACGCAGGAGGAGGGAGGAGGACGCAGGAGGAGGGAGAAGGACAACCGCTAGGGAGGATGAGACCGGACGTAGGAGAAAGTAGGCGGACCCAGGAGGAGGGAAAAGGGAGGAAGGAGGGAGAGCAGGGAGGGGGTACGACAAGCTAGGTGCGCGCGCGTCATATCTGACATCCTACCCCTCCCTCCCATCCCTTACCATGGCGTAGATCCCCTCTCTACTCGCACAGTCGGATGTCGAGCAGGGCAATGATCCCAAAAGGGTACGCGATGCATTGTAGAGCACGGCATGGCATGGCGTAGAAGAGCACCGCAAAGCGCAGTATGTCACAGCATGGCGTGGCGTGGCGTAGTGAAGAATTGCATCACAAAGCTTTGGCAACGCAAAGCATGGCATCGCACAGCGGCCCCGAACGTAACATTGCATAGCATGGCGTTGAAGATCAAGGCGTAGCATGACATAGCATGACGTGGCATTTAAGCACTGGATATGACAGCTGCAGCTGAAGTCATGGCATCGCGCAGCGGAACGCAACCTAGCATTGCATTGCATGCCGTGGCATGGCACGGGAAATGACGCCAGCGCTGCAGTGGGAGCACGATTCGGAACAAACGGAAGCGCGGAAATGAGGCCAGCGCTGCAGCGGGAGCACGATTCGGAACGATCGGAAGCACGGAAATGAGGCCAGCGTTGCAGCGGGAGCACGATTCGGATCGAGCGAAAGCCCAAAAATGAAGCCCGCGCCTCAGCGAGAGCATCATTTTGGGGGAAAAACCACGCGAAAACCCAACTCTTGAAAATCCTGTGTGTGTGTGAAAAAACAGTACGCGGAGGGGTGACCGCTATCTTCCGCACGCCATCAGGGGATGGAGGAGAGTAGTATTCGTATTGTCAAGGTCGAGCAGGAAGAGGAAGGAGAGGTGAGGGAACTGCTCACCGTCTGTTTGTGGGTTGTCGTCGTCGTCGTCGCTGCTGTCCCTCATCGTAGCCGCCGCCGTCGTTGTCGTCGTTTGTCGTCGTACATGTCGTCCACAGACTCGCTGTCACACCCAGGCTCTCGCAGCCAGACGGTCACAGCGGGACGTACCAGGAAATGAGATGCACATATCGGGATATCCGCGTCGAGTAATTTCAACACGGGGTCCCCGGAAGTCCCCACCCTTTCCCTTTGTTTTTTGGACGGACCCAGGGCCCTGCGAGGGCCCCCGGAGGCCGAAAACGGACCAAACACTTCCGTCGTGATGTTTGCTCACGAAGAAGAAGATGGTGTCGGAGGTCACCTTAACAATGAGGTAGATCCAGAACATGGGGTTAATCCAAATGAATGTGGGCGTTGGTTGGGATTGAGCTGCATGATATGGATGGCGAGCTCTCAAGCTGCCCACATCCTGATGGCCCTCTCTTGAAGTGTCTGCGCCTGAGAGGGGGTGATCCACCCGCTCTTCGACGTCACTCTAGGAGCGCTGACCCAGAAGGAAGTGTCCAGCTCAAAATTCTAGACGCTTCGCGTATCCCCACCAGCCCGTCCAGAAACGACGCCCAGGCGAGTAGAGGGTCGTCCTGAGGGGCTTTTCGGCGTCTTGGGTGCCTCGGGAGGGGGCCGCTGTGGGCCGTTCGGGATCCTCTTTGGGGCCTCCTGGGGGCCTCTTGGGGCTTCTTGGGGCCATCTTGGGGCCTTTGGGGGGCCTCCTGGGCGCTTCTTGGGGCCTCCTGGGCGCTTCTTGGGTGCCTCTGGGGGGTCTCCTGGGGCCTCTTGGGGGTCTCTTGGGGGCCTCCTGGGGGCCTCTTGGGGGGCCTCGGAGCCATCTTGGAGGAGATCGATCAACGAAGGGGGGTTCCCTAATTACAGTCCCCCCCTCAGGAGCCACGATCCTCGTGAGGGGTGTCGAATTTTAGCCCTCCCAGGGGTCGATCTTGGGCGCTCCAGCGCGCCGCGGAACCCCCTGTCCAGGTCAGTGGGGAGGGGGTAGGGGGAGGGGTAAACACCTCCCCGAAGGGGAAGAAGGAGGGGTGGAAGAGGAAACGCTCTAAACCACCGACGCCCAGAGGGCTGGTGGGATTATCACATAAAAAGGTGCGCTTTCGATTGAATTCTGGGCATTCTGCCCACACATGTCTCAAAGATGGCCAAGCCGCATTGCAGTGCCTGCAATGCTTGCCGCTCTGCCTCCTGGTCTCAGACGAGACTGCACCCGACAAATATGTGCCCAAAAGCTTCTTGTCGGCGCCTCGGAGCCTCCTGGCCCACTTGCTGAAAGCGAGCATGGCTGGGCCTCGGGCCACTGATCGGCTCTCCTCAGGGGGCCGTTCGGGACGATCCAGCCACCCCCAGGAAAAACCCTCGGCGAGGCGCAGCCGATCCCGAGGCTGGAAAAGAGCCGCCGAGGACCGACGAAAATGCCCGCAAGCCTCGCACTCTCGAGGCCGAGCGAGCATGTCTGGGTCGCCGCCGTCGTCGAGGCCGCCGTCGCCGTCCTCCCGAGAGGCGCCAGAGCGCCGGGGCATCGACGACCTGCTGCGCGGGGCCCGGGCGGCGGCGGAGGAGCCGGCGCGAGCGGACGCCGAGGCGTCCGCGCGGGGGCGTCCGTCCGCCGACCCGCGCCGGGCCCGCCGAGAAGCGCGCAAGCAGAGGATCGACTAGACTTATGTCGGGCACGTCCCCTCTACAGGGGGAACATTCAAACACACATATATATATATATATATATATATATATATATATATATGTATATGTATATGTATATGTATATATATATATATACATAATGTATTTATATATGTATGTGTGTAATTCATGTGCGGACGATGTTCTAGTATTTCTGAGTTTGTTCTGACTGGTTTGAGTTTCTCTTCCCAGATCCTCCTGTAGGAGGCCATGCCCGACCGAAGGCTAGACGTAAGAGTGACCTCTCGCCGGAGTGACCTTTGGTGCGGGCCCAATGGGTCCCCCGATCGCTGAACGCGAAGCGGTAGCGGCGGCTTGCACCGCGCGCCAAAGGCCACTCTTGCCTAGGGTTTCGGCGTGCCTCGGTAGACCGCGCACCAAAGGCCACTCTTGCTTATAGAGGGTCATTCTTGCGTGCAGCCGAGAGGAGGAGCTTGCAAGCACAATCGTTGAGGGCCCTGACCCCTGGAGCCATGAAGGAATCATGGTGGTTTGTTTGTTGTCGCTATCTTCGGCTCCAGCAACGAAGGACACAGGATGAAAAACCAGTCTTGGGGAATGGGTCGAGACCTTTGATGGTCACAAGATCATTTTGTCACCCCCTGGCGCGTATCTGCGACCGTTGCTTGGGCCAAAACCCTTTTACCCCCACGCCAGGGTAACAGTCACGATCGTGCGAAGGGGGAGGGCTGGGACCCCCCCCCCCACAAATATATATATATATATATATATATATAGATATATGTATATACATATAGACACATACATATATTTTTTTGAAGAATTCGAATTATATAGTGTATCGATGCCTGTGCACATGCTATGGCGCCCTGGCGTGCCCCGACCCGCCCAAGGATTACCGTTACTCGGAGCCCCAGCCCCCCTTCTCCCCGCCCCTTGGGGTACGAGCGCTACCTGGAAACAAAAAGGAACTGCTCCGACGGTGGGACCCTACATGGCAATCTCCCAAATTGCTATGGAAGTAGTTTTCTTCGTTGCCCTTGTGACTTCGGAGGCTCGCTTCCTGTCTGGCACCTGCTGGTCTTTGCCGACGCTTACAAGCCTGATTCCGGATGGCCGCCTCGGATTGCAAAGGACGCTCGACAAAGGAACGAGGCTCCCGCTCCAGACTCTCTCAAGATGCAGATTCCCAGGTGTCACCAAACCTGTGCTTGTTCAATGAGCACTGATGGCCGCCTTGGTTTGCTGACATGAACCCGGCGCGACCCAACTTATGGGAAAGTTCTTCTTGCATGGGCGCAGTTTTTGGCATTGCTTGACATTGCTTGGCAATGCTGGGCATTGCTGGGCATGGCTTGGCATTGATTGCATTTCTTGGCATTGCTTGGCGCTGCTTGGCGCACGTTGGCATTTCTTGGCGTTGTTTGGCACTGCTTGGCATTACTTGGTATTGCTGGGCATTGCTTGGACTTGGTTAGCATTGCTTGGACTTGGTTAGAATTGCTTAGCACTGCGTGGCTTCGCTTGGCATTGTATGGCATTGCTTGGCATTGCTTGGCACTGCTTGTCATTTCTTGACATTGCTTGGCAGTGCATGGCTGCTTGGCATTGCTTGCCATTCCTTGGCATTCCTTGGCATTGCTTGGAATTGCTAGGTGTTCATCGGCATTGCTTGGCATTTCGTGGCATTGCCGGCATTGCGCGAACCCGAGGAGCCCGGGGAACCCGAGGAACCTCCGGGCAACGGGCAACGTAACCATAGGAGGCATCCGGGACGGGGAACCCAGGGAACCCGAGGAACCTCCTAGCAACGGGCAAAGTAGGCACAGGAGGCACCAACCGTTGACCAAGCAGGAGCCCCGCGGGCAAGCCCAGCTGGGGAACGGACGTGAAGCGGGGGGCCCGCAGGGAGGGGCTCCCGCTCGAGACGTCCTCGCGATTCACGGGCGAGCCTCCGAGACCGATGGCCGCCGCGGGTTCTGCACCACAACACGAGGTGGGGACGCTGCAGCGGGGGGGGGGGCTCCCGGTCGAGACATCTTCGCGACTCGCTCACAGACGAGAGAGCGCCCGAGGCGTCCCCTCGGACTGCTCTGGAGAGAGGCTCCCGCTCGAGACCTCCTCGGGATTCAGGCTCCCAGGCGTGACCTAACTTGTTGCTTACGTGGTGTTGAGATGGCCGCCTCGGATTACCTACACGAGGCGGGGATCCCCCAGGAGGCAGCTCCTGCTCGAGATTCCCTCGCGACTCACTCACCGACGAGTGAGCGCTGGGGACATCCTGCCAGTTTGCCCAGGAACGAGGCTCCCGTCCGAGACTTCCTCAGGATTCGGGCCCCCAGATGTCACCAAACCTTTGTTTTCACAGCTCTTTCCGAGGCCTCGGACTATCAACATGATCTGCGGGCCCCATGGGGAGGGGGCTCCCGCTCGAGATATCTTCTCAACTCACTCGCAGACGAGGCTCCCGCTCGAGACGTCCTCGGGACTCAGGCTGCATGGTGTCACTCAACGCGTGCTTCTAGATGTCTGTCCGATGGCCGCTTCGGATTGCCAACATGATCTGCGGGACCCATAGGGCGGGGCTCCCGCTCGAGGCGTCCTCGCAATACGCTCACAGACGAGGCTCCCGTTCCATACGTCCTTTGGATTCGAGCTCCCAGGTGTTACTACACATGTGTTGTTACATTGCTTTCCGATGGCGGCCTCGGGATACCGACATGATCTGCGGGTACCATGTGGTGGGTGCTCCCGCTCGAACTTTCCTCTCGGTTCACTCACAATCGAGGCTCCCGCTCCAGACCTTTGTGGATGAGTGAGTGAGTGAGTATTCGGGGGTGGACAGAACCCCCAACAGTGACATGTCGATTAGTGAATTGTCCGTTGTCGGTTCTCGAGAGGGCGCCGTGGCCGTTATTTTCCAGGCTTGCGCCCGCCAGGTTTGGGCCTCAGGTCGTTTTCACTAAACCGCGTTTTACTAAAGGGGGGTCTGTCCATCCCCGAAGTATGTGAGTGTGTGAGTGAGTGTGTGTGTGTGTGTGTGCGATGCTGATGGTAAGGATGAAGAAGAGGAGGAATGGGTGAGGACGTTCTCGTGCGGGTTTGCCCCAACGACAGCAAGAACCCCGATGAACATGTGGGGAACAGAGACCCCACTCATGATGCGGGACACAAGAACCCCAGTTTGGATGTGGGGGATGATGATGATGACGATGATGATGCTGCTGATGCTGATGATGCTGCTGATGATGATGGTGATGATGAGGATGAAGATGATGATGATGCTGGTGCTGATGTTGCTGCTGCTGATGATTGTGGTGGTGGTGGTGATGGTGATTGTGATGGTGATGGCGATTCTGACGATTCTGACGATTATGACAATGATGATGACGACGATGATGATGATGACGACGATCATGGTGATGCTGATGCTGATCATGAGGGTGGTGATGACGCTGATGATGATGATGACGATGATGGTGATGATGTTGGCCGATGACCTTGATGAGATGATGATAGTAATGGTGATGGTGCGATGGTGGTGATGATAAGCGTGAAAAGAGGGGGGCGACGATGAATGGGTGTGATGCTGAGTTTGACGCGGGGGGGGCGCAGAGAAGGCAGGAACCCACTTAGGGGGCGGGACGCAGCCTCGACGAGAATGGCGTCATCGAGCACAAAAGGACCCCTAACCTTAATGATACGATGAAGACGTGGCCTCACTGAGGCCCCCGTCTCCGCATTAGGGATGATACATCTAGGCGTTTTGGCCTGGCACATTTGCCGATAAGACCCCCTAACCCTAATGCTCCTGGCCCTCCTAACTACTTGGTGCCCTCACCAAAGGGGCAGGGGTCCTTTCATTGCTTGTTAGTGCATCCTCGAAGGTATGGTCCAGGGGGGCCCTTGGGGGCAGCGCACGGGCCAAACATTATAAGCCCCACGCGCCCGCCGCCGCGCGGGGCCCGCTCGGGCAGCCCATCGACGAATGGAAATAGCTCGGGCAGCCCATCGACAAATGGAAATATGGAGCAGCACGATGTCTCAGACCCTGAGATCCATCAGAGGAGGAGCCTGTACCCAGACCCGTGCCTTTTCACCCGCTTCCCCCCTCTTGAGCCTCCCTGGGGGCCCCCGTCGCCACCGCTGGAGTCGCCTCGAAAAATTCGGGTCGGAGCGCACCCCTGGAGAGGCCTGGGGAGAGGCGGTGTCGGTCATTCCTGGCCGTCCCATTTTCGTCGAGCACTTGCGCACAAGTTTCGGGCCCCGGGGCCCTCGCAGATGGATGCGGCGCGAAGATGTGCAGCACAAGGGCGGGGCCTAGGGGTCTTGGTCGAGAGCTGCAGTTTTTGGTCGCGACGTCGGACTCCTTGGGCCCATGCTGCCAGCCCTCCGAAGGAACATGCATCACACAATAGCCATTTCTTGGAGACCGCGCGGATTTCTCGCAATCGGCGCTGGGCCCCCGCGGCGCCTCCCGCGCCGCCCCCTCTCCCTCCCCCTCCTCCTCCTCCTCCTCCTCCTCCTCCTCCTCCTCCTCCTCCTCCTCCTCCTCCTCCTCCTCCTCGGTCCGCGTGGCAGGGAGGGGGCCCAACGCAGATCCGAGAAGTCCGCGCGGACCTCCGAGAGATGCGGTTTGCACCGTTTTTCGGCTGTGGTTACTCTAGCGTGTCAGATCTGCAGGTCGGGCGCCACGAGGCGGACTGGCTCCTCAGACATGCTGGCGTCGAGAACCAAGACCCCGGCGTTGGGGTTTTGGCCGTTTCCGGCCCCTTGGGGCCCCCGCCCGGGTTCCGGGGCTGTCCGAAAACGATTTGGGATGCAGAACCAGCCTTAGGGAACGGGTCGGGGTTTCCGGAAACCGCGTGTCGACAATCATCAGGGCATCGCGTGTTTGGGTTGACGTCGCGAGACTCGGGGCTGTTGTTGGTTGGGGACCGTGTTGGGGAGCTCTGGGGCGTCCTGCAGCGCCCTCGTGGCCGCGGCTGGACGAGCAGAGCGCACCCTTTGAGACGGGTCCGGCAGTCGACATTCATCCCCGAGCCTTCAGATCTGGGCGTCGCAAGGTGATCGGTTTCTTATTCAATGTTTTGCCGATGGACGTTTGGGGATGTCTTGTCGGAGGGGGGAGGAGGTAGAGAGGGGAGCGGGGGAAGGAGGAGGGGGGGACGGAGGAAGAGGATGGAGGTGACGGAGGAGGAGGAGGAGGAGGAGGGCAGAGGCGGAGGACGGAAGAGGATGAGGACGAGGAGATGGAGGACGACGAGGAGGAGGAGGAGGAGGTGGAGGAGGAATAGGAGGACAGCGAGGGGGAGGGGGAGGAGGAGGAGGAGGAGGAGGAGGAGGAGGAGGAGGAGGAGGAGGAGGAGGAGGAGGAGGAGGAGAGGAGAAGGAGGAGTAGGAGGAGGAGGAGGAGGAGGAGGAGGAGGAGGAGGAGGCGGACGGCGGAGGAGGAGGAGGAGGCGGAGGAGGAGGAGGAGGCGGAGGAGGAGGAGGAGGAGGAGCAGGAGGAGGAGCAGCGAGGAGGAGGATTGAACGGCGTGAGGAAAGGGAGTCTTGGAAGAAGGGCGACCCAGACGTCTTCCCGTGGCTGCGTCAGGCTCTCGGCGCCCTTGGCCCGACGTCGGGCCCCCACGTCCAACAGCGACTCGGGGAGGAAACGCCTAGCCTTCGAATCGGACACGTCCCTCTACAGGAGGAACATTTAAACATAGTCGAACCAATCATCGGGGGACGATGCTCGACGAGTTTTGACTAGTGTGACGCGTTGGTTTGAATACCTTTGCTTTCTTTTGCTCCCAAACCCGCCTGTAGAAGGACACGTCCGACCTAAGCCCTGTCTTGGGAAGTGCCCCAGGGTCAAGGATCCGTTTCCACCAAGACCCGTGTCCTTTATGCCCGGTCCAGGATCGAGGTTTGGGCTGGCTGTTTTGAATTCCATTTTCGGGCCTCTGGGGGCGTCCTCGTCGCCACGGTTGCATCCGCACCGGAATCATGATCGGAAAGCATTCCAGGACGTCTCTTTCGGCAGTTTTTTCAGGAGGGATGGCTTCACCTCGCTGCCGACGTCGGGATGTTGCACAGTGATGACGTTTTCCGTCGGTCTCTGCTTCGGGAGGCCCGGTTCGGTAAGGCCCCCAGGATTGACGAACTGTTTGACGAGTAGGCCCCCTATTGTTAACAGAAATAGAAGAAGCCGACTATGAGGAAGGTTGAGTGTGTGAGTGATTTTGAGCGTCAGCGATTGCGTATGAGTCGCTGGTGATGCTTGAGACTGGGCGCGAACGGGCCCGTCAAGCATCCATGGTCGATATTCCGTTGGGAGGTTCAAAAGCCATGCGTTCCACATCGGGCTGGTCGTGGGGCTCTGACAAGAGATTCGCTTGCTTACCCAAAACGGGCGTTTCACCTGAGAGGTCTCTTGAATCTTGGCGTGAAGGGGGTGGCTCCCCTTGTGGGATGCTGGGTCGCGGTGATCATTGAGCTCCGAGAAAAAAATTGATTGGACCAAACAAGATGCGGTGTGCCGGGCATGTCGCGATGCTTCGGGAGTTGGTGCAGCCTTTTCAACGCTCTTGGCCGACCCCCCTTTAGGGAGGTCCAGAAGTGTAATGCCTGCTATATCGCGGTGACCATCGGGCGCCAAGAAAGAGATTCGTCTATTGGGCCAACGAAAACGTTTCGCCTGACAGGTGCCCGCAATCTGGGAGCGAACGGGCTCTTGCATCACCCTTAGATGGCACCCCCTTGAGACGCCACAGCGCGATGCCTGGTAGACTGGCGAGACTGGGTCTGAGTTGGAGCGAGGCGGAGTGAGAGAGGGTTTGTTTGTGACAGGAAATTGATGAGTATGTGCGAATCTTGGCGCGAGTGATTCTCACCACGAGTGAGTCTCAGTGTGAGTGAATCTGATTTGTGGGTGAGACTGAATGTGAGTGAGTTAGGTGGATTTTGAATGAGTCTGCTTATCAGTGAATCTGGTTATTCGATGTCGAGGTATGTGTTGTGGAAGGAAGCGGAAATGAACGAATGACGCGGTGGAGGCGTGACGCTGGCAACGGGCCTCCATGTTCCGGATATGGAAAATAGTCCTCGGAACGAACGGGCTATCTCTAGGGGGGGGACCTTTGGGGGCCCGATGGTGGTCTTTTCCTGACGTATTGGCCCGAAGTGATGTCGCCGCCCACGTCCCAGCGCACGCGCGTACCCCGCCATGGCTGACGACCTTGGCGGTGCTGTCGACCGCGCCGAGGGTATCAGCGAGGCGCCCGGACTCAACACGGCAGGCCCCGCCAGCAGCGGTTGTTTGGCCGTGGCCGTGCCGGAGCCGCCCGCCAGGGGCGGAGCAGTGGCCGGCGTGAGGCGGAGGATCTCCGGCAAGCGGTGCCACCAGGGCGCCGCGTCGGTGCCAGCGGGCGCCGCGGGAACGCCGCGCGGCGGCCCGCGGGCTGGCAAACTCGGCGGTGAGAGGCAGGAGGTGGTGCCCGGGGCCCCGGTGCCGCTGCGGACGCTGGTCATCAACCTGGATCAAAGGCAGGACCGCTGGAGGGGAGTGCGCGGGAGGCTGGGGCCACTGCAGTCCGCCGGCTGCCTGAGCGTCGAGCGCCTGCCCGCCACCGATGGCCGTTGCGCCGCCTCGCAGGTGCCAGCCTCTGACGTAGCTCACGAGTGGACCACGGACCGCAACGCGAGATATGATGGGCGTAAAGGCTACCGTGCTGGGGTGCGGTTGCAGCTCACGCCAGGTGAGCGAGGCTGCGCCATGTCTCACGTGCGGGCTTGGCGGGAGGTCGCCGCGGGATCGTGCGCAGGAGATCTCGAGCAGCCTGTTCTGATTCTGGAGGACGACGCGGTGCCAGCCGAGGCCTTCTGCAGGAGGCTCCCCCAGCTCTTGCGCAGGACCCCCTCGGACGCCGACGTGCTCTACCTGGGCTACATCAAGGGCGCGCCCTGGAGGTCCAAGGTTGCCCCCGGCCTGTACGAGGCGGAGTACCTCTGGACCACAGTGGGTTATGTATTGTGGCCGCGTGGTGCAAAGATAGGGGAACAACAAGTGACATAAACATAAAAACTCGGAGGTCCGCGCGGATTTCTCGGATCGGCGCTGGACCCCCCCCTCCCTGGTGCGCGGAGCGCGCCAGGGGCGGCGCCAGAGGCGCCGCCAGGGGGGGGGGCCCAGCGCCGATCCGAGAAATCCGCGCTGACCTCCGAGTCTTTATGTTTATGTCACCTTTTGTTTCCCTAATAGAAGCTCGTCAGCTCGCTACCAGTGGACCAGCCGGTTGACAATTGGATGGGGTGGCTCTCTGCAGTCAGGCGGTTACGGGCGTTTGCTGTGGCGCCTGCCCTGGTAAGCCAAGAGCAGGAGTGGGATCTCGGCTCAGACGTGCGACACTCGGACGACGCAGTGTTCGACGCTTGACCTGAAACTGACCGCGTCTGACCCTGCTGACACGAGAAAACACTGATCGTACTTGTCAGTATCATTGCGACGTCGGGCAGCGGCAGGCGTATGCCAGAGAGCAGGGGGACCATAATAACGATGACCATAAGCAGCGCATGTTATATATATATATGTTATATATACATACATATGTGTATATATAAATATATAAGCGTGAGCAGGTTGAGTAGAGGTGTGAGAATGACGAGAAGGAGATGGACTCGCCGCACTAGTGTCGCGCATCTCATCAGCAAGCGAAGGTCGTGAGGATCATCGTGATTCTGGCACTGATCAGTCATAGTTTTAGCAACGACGCCGACAGGGCAGCACATGCACATGTGTATGGCCAGGCACGACCGCCATCGCACAACAAGATATTGTTTTTGTATCCTCTGGCTCGTAGCGGTCGTTATCCGTCCCCCACCCTCGGGTGACGGTGACGATCATAGGAAGGGGGGAGGGGTGTTGTGACCCCCCCCCACATGCTAGTGCTGGCGCGCATACCGTGGCGATCGCAGCGCATCCCGACGTGCTCCACCCCGCCTGGGCGTTCTCGTTACCTGCCCCCCCCCCCTCCCAGCCCCGCGGGTAACGACCATCATGGGAGGAAGGATGAGAGCGCAGGAGGGCGGCGGGAGGAGAAGGAGAAGGAGGTGGAGGCCGCGATGCTCTTTTCGCTTGGAAACCGGAGCCCCAAGGAGGATGGGGAACAATCTCCAAGATGCCCCAAGAGCTGCGGGCGGGAGTCGCGGGGGGCGTTCGGTAGCAACTCATGGGATCCTCGTATGTCCTCGCGACCCCATCTCTACAGTGCATTGGCGTGCGCCAGCGCCTCGCAATCCATGAGAAAACGACGATTTAGCGCCAAATACAGTCAACCTGCATAGTAAGGATGGGCAATTGTCCCAAGGGTACCCTTGCATCCCTGCCTCCTCGGTCCATCCTTGGCCAGTTTCTCTTGGCCGCGCCCCGCCCGAAAAGCTCCGAAGTGGGTTTCCGAGGCCCTGGCATCCCTATCGCGCATCCTTACGGTGCGGGTCGAGTGCAGCGTCCGTCAGCGTCGATCCGCAGACGCCGGCAGCACGGCACGGGAGGCTCCCGAGGGTGGCCACAGCAGGGGCGCGCGCCGCGCGCCCGCGCACGAGCGGCGGGCTGCCGCGGGCGCGGAGGCGCGGAGGTGCGGAGGTGCGGAGGCGCGGAGGCGCGGGCGCGGAGCGCTGGCGGGTCGGGCCGCGGCAGCAACATTTTTATCATCATCATCATCATCATCATCATCATCATCATCATCATCATCATCATCATCATCATCATCATCATCATCATCATCATCATCGTCATCATCGTCATCATCATCAGCAGCAGCAGCAGCATCAGCATCAGCATCAGCATCAGCATCAGCATCAGCATCATGATCATCAGCGTCATCGTCATCTTCTTCATCATCATCATCAGCAGCATCAGCATCATCATCATCATCATCATCAGCAGCAGCAGCATCATCATCATCATCATCATCATCATCATCATCATCATCAATAGCATCAGCATCAGCATCAGCATCATCATTGTCGTCGATCCGGCTCGAAAAATACCAAAGGACGGGGTCCGGGGCTCCGGTGGTGATGTTTCGCGAGGTTGCAATTCTTTCGCCGCGTCGGCTCTGAGGGCCTGCCTGAGCGGAGAGCTCCTGCGCGCACGCCGTTTCGGAGTAAGAAAAGTCGGAAATAGTAAAAAATAGTCTTGAGACGACTTTTCGATTTTTTGGGGCCATTTGTATGTAGATATATCGATTATTAATTCTTTATGTTCCCTCCCTCCCAAATCCGCCTGTAGGGAAATTCGGAAATAGTCAAAACAGAACCTCGAGACGACTTTTCGACTATCTTTGGTCATCTCTGTATTTCTTCATGAAGCATGTTTCATTTTATCGCTTCGCTCATTCCGCTGGCCCTGGAGCGCTATTTGGAGCCTCTTGGGGCCGTCTTGGGCGCTTCTTGGGGGCTTCTTGGGAGCGTCTTGGGGCTCCTTGGCGGCGTCTTGGGCTCCCCTGGGGCCTCTTAGGGGGCTCTTGGGGGCCCCTTGGGGCGGGAGGGGGTAGTCGATTGCAGCCGCCCCTCGGAGGCCACGATCCTCGTGAGGGGTGGCGAAAAATAGCCTCCCCCCTGGGGATCGCCCAGGACCCAGCCGGGGATCGGCCAGGGTACTTTTCATCCGGGGGCCCCCCAGGGGCCGCCCCGCGCGCGCGAACTAGAAATATTGTTAAGTAGTTACCGGAAATCTTAGCACGCCTCTGGCCCGTTTGGCCGGCGAATTTCCCCCCCCCCCCCCCCAGGTCCGCCTGTGGGGGGACATGCCCGACCTGAGGCGACACCCGCGGGGCCCCCGTGCCCTTGCCGGAGCCCCTGGGGGGCGAGCGGACGCGCCGCCGCGGGCCGAGCGGCACCGTCGCGCCCGCACGGCGCGTGCGCGCTGGGCGAGGCGTGCCTCGGCAGCCGCCAGGGGTTGGCCTCGAGTCGGGCCTGCCCCTCCACGAGTGGGGGCGGTGTTTCGATTATTTCTCTGCCCATGTTCGAATATTCTAGGGGAACAAAAAATGACATAAAGATTACCCTGGCGAAGCAACCTACCAGCGATGTGTATAAGCATATCTGGAAGCATTCCCTTTAAGATTCAGGTGAGAATCCAGTTGTAGAATTCAGCTGTTCTCGCAGTCGCAGTCGCTTTCGCAATGACAGTCGCAGTGGCAACGACCTTAGGATCCAATGGAATCCTAAGCATTCCTAGGGATTCCTCAGGCATCCTTAGGCATCCTTAGGAATCCATAGGAATCCGGAGGAAACCTTAGGAATCCTTAGGAATCCTGATTCCTAGGGATTCCGATGGATTCCTAAGGATTCCTAGGGAATCCTAAGGATTCCTGAGGATGCTTACCTATGTCTACGGATTCCTAAGGATGCCTACGGATTCCTAAAGATTCCGAGGGATGCCGAAGGATTTCTATGGATTCCTACGGATGCCTCAGCCTGCCTCAGTTTCAGCCTCAGCCTCAGCCTGCCTCGGCTTGCCTCAGCCTCAGTCTCAGCCTGTCTCGGCCTCAGCCTGCGTCAGCCTCAGCCTGCCTCAGCCTCAGCCTCAGCCTCAGCCTCAGCCTCAGCCTGCCTCGGCTTGCCTCAGCCTCAGCCTCAGCCTGCCTCGGCCTCAGCCTGCCTCGGCCTCAGCCTGCCTCAGCCTCTCCTCCTCCCCCCCCTTCCCCCCCATTCAGCCTCACCTTGTCTCAGCTTCGGCCTGCCTCGGCCTCATCCTCAGCCTCAGTCTCAGCCTCAGCCTGTCTCGGCCTCAGCCTGCCTCGGCCTCAGCCTCAGCCTGCCTCAGCCTCAGCCTGCCTCAGCCTGTCTCAGCCTCAGCCTGCCTCAGCATCAGCCTCAGCCTCAGCCTCAGCCTCAGCCTGCCTTGGCTTGCCTCGGCCTCAGCCTTAGCCTGCCTCAGCCTCAGCCTCAGCCTCAGCCTGCCTCAGCCTCAGCCTCAGCCTGCCTCAGCCTCAGCCTGCATCAGCCTCAGCCTCAGCCTGCCTCAGCCGCAGCTTGCCTCAGCCTCAGCCTTCCTCAGCCTGCCTCAGCCTCAGCCTCAGCCTGCCTCGGCCTCAGCCTCAGCCTCAGTCAGCCTCAGCCTCAGCGTCAGCCTCTCAGCCTCAGCCTGCATCGGCCTCAGCCTCAGCCTCAGCCTGCCTCAGCCTCAATCTCAGCCTGCCTCAGCCTCAGCCTGCCTCGGCCTCAGATTGCCTCGGCCTCAGCCTGCCTCAGCTCGGGCATTCAAAATATGGCACAGGACTGGCGTTCTGGGAACACGAAGATCACGAAGTAGCCCACAGTTGGCTCTGGGCAATCAAAATATGGTACAGGAATGGTGTTCTGGGAACACGAAGAACACGAGGTGGCCTACAGTTGGCTCCGGGCATTCAAAATGTGGCCTGGGAATGTGTTTTCTGGGAACACGAAGCACACGAAGTGGCCTACAGTTGGCTCCGGGCACTCAAAATTTGACCTGGGAATGGTGTTCTGGGAAGACGAAGAACACGAAGTGACCTACAGTTGGCTCCGGGCATTCAAAATGTGGCCTGGGAATGGTGTTCTGGGGAGTCCCCGGATCTCCCCGGCTTCCCGCGGCACCCGTCCGGCATCTGCCCAGACCCCCTTGGGGAGTCATGATGCTCTCTTTTGAGACCACTAGGAACCTATCAGTCTTCGCTGCTGCGTAATAAAAACTCGAAGGTCCGCGCGGATTTCTCGGATCGGCGCTGGACCCCCGTCCCTGGCGCGCGGAGCGCGCCAGGGGCGGCGCCAGAGGCGCCGCCGGGGGGCCCCAGCGCCGATCCGAGAAATCTGCGCGGACCTCCGAGTTTTTATGTTTATGTCACTGGTTGTTCCCCTATTTTCTTTTTGGATCTGCTCGATTGTTTTCGTCCCAAATCCGCCTTTCGGTGGACACGCCCGGCCGACGCCCAGCGCGGGGCTTCGCGTGGCGCGGCGCGGCGCCTTGCCGCCCGCCCGCCCAGGGGCGGGGGGGGGCGTGGGAGGCCGAAGACGGCGTTGCGCAGAGAGGTGTCGATGTCTCTCGCGGGGTATCCCGCCCGGCTCGCGCTGCAGGGCGCTTCGCTGGACGAAGTGGTGGGCGCCCCCGTGCAGCTTGGTGCGTTTCGGATCAGCGAGCCGCTGGAGGGACGCGGGTGGTTCCTCTGGCGGCAAGGCAGCGCCAACAGGAAGTTTGGCGAGACGAGTAACGCGGTGCCCGGGCAGCGGGGAGAGCTTCGCCGCCAGCTCGGCCGTGCCTGGGGAGGTAGGTGTCCCCCTCCCCCCCTGTTCTTGTCGCCATCCCTGCCACGCGCTTCGCCTGTCGAGCCAACCTGAGAATTCTTAAGCGAGCGCGTGAGATTGGCATTGCTTTCGCTCCAACCTTCCTCCTTCCTCCTTGCCACCCCGCCTCTCGCTCCTGCTCCGCTCCTTCCGTCCTCCCTCCCTCCTTCTCGTGGTCCTATTCCCTCTCCTCCAATGCTTGCTCCCGTTTCCTCCTGCACCCCCCATTCCATGTCTCTTTCCCCCCCCGCCCGCCATTACCCACCCATCCTCGCTCCTCATTCCTTCCCTCCCCCCTCCTTCCCTCCTTCCCTCCTTCCCTCCCTGCTCGCTTGCTCCTCTCCTCCCTCTCGCTCGCTCCTCCTGCTCCTCGCTCCTCTTCCTCCTCCTTGCCCCCCCCCCCGCCCTCCCTTCCCCCCGCGCCCGCGGAGGCGGAGTCCCCGTCCCCGCCGCCCAAAGGCGCGCCGCGGCGCCCCTCTCGGCAGGGGCGCAGACCGCACCCCTCCCCCGTGTCCGGAAGTCGGGCATGTCCCTCCACGGGAGGACTATTCAAAAACCATCCCAAAAATAATGCGGGGACGACTTCTATTATTATCTTTTACTATTTGATAGAGCATTATCTGGTTTCATTGTTTCTTCCAAAATCCACCTGTAGGAGGACTTGCCCGACGCAGCCGTATCCGCCGGCCCGGTGGGGTGCGGCGGGAGGCGGCGGGGGCCCGTGGCGAGGAGGAGGGGCGGGCGGGGGGGACGAGGAGGAGGAGGAGGGGAGCGGGGGGAAGCGGGGAGGGAGAGGGAGGGAGCGCGACGAGGAGAGGGAGGGGGGGGGGGAGCGACGGGAGAGCAGGCTGGGGGGAGCGAGTAGGAGGGAGGAGGGTGCAGCGTCCGGACCGACAAAGCGGCCAGGGTGGCGAGCGCTCCCGAGGCTGGGCAGCGCGCCCCTCCCCCACGTGCCCCGGGCCCCTTCCCGAGGGACTGTCGTGCCCGGCCCGGCTGTCGGAGCCCGCGGTGCTGGCCTCCCGGGCTGGTGTGGCCCAGTGGACGCCAGCTGTGGTGACCGGGCAGGTGGTAATCCGGGGTGGCCTAAACCTCCTCCTCCTCCTCCTCCTCCTCCTCCTCCTCCTCCTCCTCCTCCTCCTCCTCCTCCTGTGGGGGGCGGGCTAGGTACGGGCCCTCCAGCCCCCCGTCCCCTCTCCCCCAGGCTGGTATGGCCCAGGGACGCCAGCTGTGGTTCGGGCCGGGCGAAAGGGGGGGATTGGGAAAGGGGGGGTTACGAAATTTGCTGCATGCAGCTGATTTCGGCTTCACCGAGGGGCCCATTCCTCGATACATGGGCGCCTCCCGGCGCCGGGAGGCGCCGGGAGAATCAGCTACGTGAGCTGATTCTCAAACCCCCCCTTTGCTATCCCCCCCTTTCGCCCGACCCGAGTGGTGACCGGGCTAGGCCTCCTAGATGGGGTCGAAGCAGATGGGGTCGGAGGATCGCGCCGCATCGCCGAGAAATCAGCGATGCGGCTCGATGTGGAGCCCGATTTGCTTCCGTCGATGCCACCGATGCATCGCCGATTCATCGGCGATGCGGCGCGACCCTCTGACCTCATCTACTCCGATCCCATTCCCATCTAGGAGGCATATAAAAACGGGGGGTGAAGAAAAAGTCCCTAAAGGGGCCCTTTAGAGCTCTTTTCTTCACCCGCCATTCAGGCCCCCCCCAAAGCCACCTACCCGGTGCCCAGTTTCCGAGAGAGCGCCACCCAGGCAAGTCGATGGAGGAGTCTTTATCGAAGAGGAAGAATCACCATAAACATAAATTTTCGGGGCTCCGCGCGGATTCATTGGAAGCGCGCTGGGCCACAAAGGTGGCGCCTCCAGCGCCGCCCCTGGCGCGCTCCGCGCGCCAGGGAGGGGGATCCAGCGCAGATCCAAGAGATCCGCGCGGATCAGCAAAAGTTTATGTCTATGTCGTTTCTTCTGTTTCTAACCCAGGCAAATCGATGGAGGAGCTTGTGACGATTCGCAGATCGAACAGGAACAAGACCGCATAAAATCATAACATTTTCGACGGTCCGCGCGGATTTCTTTGATCGGCGTTGGGCCCCCGTGTCGTTCTCCGCGCGCCGGGGAGGGGGGCCTGGCGCAGATCGAAGAAATCTGCGCGGACCGTCGAAAGGTTGCGTCTTCCTCCAATGTCCCCATTCGCGCATGCGGAAACGATGCACAGGCTGCTTGCCCTGATCCAGGAACCGTACTGGCACGAAGGGGAACAGAGATCGTTGCGTGATGTCCAGCCCCGGGTCGGCGGTTTGGGAGGTCGCCGCGACGATCGCGGCGGCAGCACATCGGGACACTTGGCATCGCTCGGACGTGTGCATTATTCCTTCGGCGGGGACCATCGAGGAGCATCCTTGATCACTTGGCGAAAAAAACACGCACTAAACCGAAAAAAGCACAGGGAATGGGCGTCCGAGCGATGGCGAGGAGATGGTACGAAGCGAGCACGGAGCCTTCGAGCTCCACCTCTGGCCCGGCGGGGGTCGCGCGCTGGCTGCGCTCCACCGCGCGGGTCCCGAGGAGGCTCCGGCCGTGGCCCGGCATTATTGTTTTTGTTTGTCCCCTGCTAGGTGCGAAGTACGGGGGGGGGGGGGGCGGTGACGGGGAGGGGAAGAAAGGTGCACTTCTCGGGCCACAAAGGCTCCCTCCTGTCGGCGGCGGGCGATGGGGAGAAGTGAGAAGGAGAAGGCCTGCCCAGAAGGCGGCGGGACTTCTCAGAAGCCTTCGCGCCATCTGAGGAAGTGTTCTGTGCCCTCGGGGAAGGCTCAGAAAACTTTTCCGAAGGCCGGAGCCTTCCGAGCATTCTGAGAAGGCCCTTTTCTTTTTCGCTTCCCCGCCTCGCTCGCCGCCGATTCTGGGCTCGCGAGGGGGCCTCCTTGGGGCCCCCAGGGGGGCCCTGTCCTGAAGCCTTCGATGCCAACCCGCCGCCGTCGGCGTGGCAAGGGCATGCTGCCGTTCGAGCGACAATTTCAGCGCCAACCAACCCCTCGAGACCTCATGGAGACGACTGTGGCCTGCGGACGCGAAAGCTCTTGCGAGCTGGTGGGCCCCGCGCAAGATCCAGGCAAAGTGCTGGACAAGGTGCGGAGATGGCGATGATGTTGTTGTTGGTGTTGTTGTTGGTGTTGCTATTGTTGCTGATGTTGGTGATGATGATGCTGCTGTTGTTGATGATGATGATGATGATGATGATGATGATGATGATGATGATGATGATGGAGGTGTTGGTGGTGTTGATGTTTATGGTGATCATGCTGAGTATGAGTATGATGATGATGATGATGATGATGATGATGATGATGGTTATGGAGTTTATGCTGGTGCTGATGATGCTGATGATGATGGAGATGGTGATGCTGATGGTAATGCTAATTATGATGGTGGTGAAGCTGATGCTGATGATGTTGAGGCTGATACTGATGATGTTGAGGCTGATTATTACGATGTGTGTTGCTGCTGCTGATGATGATGATGTTGCTGATGATGGTGATGTTGACGATGATCATGATGGTGATGATGAGTGCGGTGGTAGTGATGATGAGTATGATGATGTTGATGCTGATGATGATGATATGGGGGTGTTGGTGCTGAGGATGATGGTGCTGATGATGATGCTGACGATGATGATGATGATGATGATGACGATGATGATGATGATGATGATGATGGTGATGATGATTGTTGCGGTTATGATGATGTGGTGATGCTGATGGTGACGCTGGTCATTGTGGGTCCCGCAAAAAATGAGGGCCCTGCGCAAGATCCAGGCAACTTGCTGATGATTGCGCGGTGATGGTGATGATGTTGTTGTTGCTGTTGGTGATGATGATGGTGGTTGTGTTGTTGATGATGGTGCCGATGATGACGACGATGCTGATGATGTCGATGATGATTGCGGTTGTGGTTATGGTGGTGATGATGCTGATAATGCTGTTGGTGATGATGGTTACGAAGACGATGGTAGTGATGTTGATTTTGGTTATGGTTGTTGTGATGGTAGTGGTGATGAGGATTATGACGACGACAGCGAGGATGCTGATGGCGGAGATGATGATGATGATTATGATGATGAAACTGGTGATGCTGGTGGTGCTGCTGATGTTGATGATGCTGTTTATGATTATGACAGCGACGGCGACGATGACGATTACAATGATGTTCATGATGATGCTGGTGATGATGATTATGATGATGATCGTGATGGTAATTGTTCTGGTGATGGTGGTGACGACGATACTGAGTGTGATGATTGAGATTATGGTGATTCGGGTGAGGATGAGGATAATAATGAAGATACTGATGATGTTGACCGTGATGCTGATTATGATGATTATGATGATTCTGATGATTATAATGATGGCGATGGCGATGACGATGTCGACGACGACGATGACGATTGTGATGCGGATTTTCATGGTGATGGTGGTGATCATGATGATTATGCTGATGAGTATGGTGGTAATGACAATGATGATGATGATGGTGGTGGTGATGATGATGCGGATTTTAGATGAGGGGGAGGAGGAGAAAGAGGAGGAAGAGGAGGAGGAAGAGGAGGAAGTGGACCAGTGTAAACCCAAGGCTCACCAACGATGTTGAAATATATCCTTCCTCCAAGATCCCTCTTGATAGGCCCGTACAACGGGCCATTTCCACTGAGAGAAGTGCCCCGTTGGCGGAGAACCATGTGAACATTTTGAAGCGTGCCAGAACAGCTTTCTCAGATCCTGAAACGTTCCATCGTGAAACCCTTGCAGAGTTTAAAACGAATGTGTGCGGCGCTAAGGCGAGAGCCACATTTTGAAATAGAACCGCCCTCAATCCGTGAATCTCTTGCACATGTTGAGAACCAATGTGCGCGGCGTTAACACGAGCGCCACATTTTGAACAGGAGCCGCCCTCAATCCGTGAATCTCTTGCATCTGTCACGGTATCGGCACCTTCTGGTTTCTCCCAAAGCCTTATCTTTATGATCAGCATCGCCGTATGCGGATGCCGATCTCAAGGACCCCATCGGTTTCTGAGGGCACATCCCCATGTTTGTCGTCGCCTTGTGCCTGTAAAGAGAAGTTCGAGGCCAGTTACAGATCCTCCTCGCCTCTCCGCTCCACCGCCCTCCTCCCTTCCGCCCTCGCTCGTCTCCTGGTACCTCTGCTCTGCCGACCAGGGCGGGCTAGCGAAGCAGGAGCTGCAGCCCGTCCGGCGTTCAGAGCGCTCCCCTGGGCGCGCGGGCCCTACAGGGCCTCTCGAGCCCCCTCCCCCCGCATTGGTCTCGAAGTGGCGGCCGCTGCAGGCCGCGACCCGGACTCTGCCCTGCCGAGACCTCGGCATCGCTTCTTCCCTGGGTGCTTGATCGGGGGTGGACAGAGCCCCCAACAGTGACACGTCGACTAGTGAATTGTCCGTTTTCGGTTCTCGAGAGGGCGCCGCGGCCGCTATTTTCCAGGCTTGCGCCCGACAGGTTTGGGCCGCAGGTAGTTTTCACTAAACCACGTTTTACTAAAGGGAGGTCTGTCCATCCCCGAGCTGGAGCCTTCCTCGAACCCAGGGCTCGAGCTAAAAGGTGTTCTGTTGATCTCGTTGGACCGTGTTCGTTTCGATGCCGTTTCGCAGCAGAGGCAGGGCCGAGACAGAACGGAGGACGACGAAGACAAAACTGAATCGAAAATCATCGTCTAGCCCGAGCCCTGCTCGATCTTGGCGACGGTACACTTCCAGGCCCGCCGCGGTCGCCCCGCCGCCCTCTCAGACCTCCCCCCCTGCTCTGCTCCAGGCCTGCTCGACGGGGTCCGAGCAGGATGGAACGGAGGATCGCGCCGCATCGCCGAGGCACCGCCGTTGCGTCTCGATGTGAGCGACGCAAGAAAAGAGCGTCGTTTGCGCTGGCATTGGCGCGTGAGTTGCCCAAGTAAAGTCGCGCGTGAGCGCCCTCGTCTCCATTGTGGCGTGACGCGCTGGCGCCCCGCGCAAGCCTCGTAGGGTCGCGGTGCCATCTCGCGCCAAACCCCTTTTTAATCGTCGCTCATGCGGAGCTCAGTTTTCTCCACGCCGACGTCTCGGGGGCCTCGAGGGGGGCGGGGGTTCAAGGCAAATGGGGATCAGTCAGAGCCCCGTAGCTCGCAGGGTCCTGCAGCGCCAGGGTTGCACTGACCCGGGCTAGCGTACAGGATCCTGCAGCACCCTGCAAAGCTTGATTGACCCTGGTTTGCACTGACCCGGGTCAGTAGAAGCCCGAGTCGCCGACATATTTCCTGATGTCACCGATGCATCGGTGATGCATCGGTGATGCGGCGCGATTCTCCGACACATCTGCTCGGTCCCCGTGCAGGAGGCCTCTTTAACGCATGGGGGAAACGGGTCCTGAGGGAACCGGGACTTGGACCCTGGGGTAATTATTCCCCCAGGACCAGCTCTTCATCCTGCGTCGTCTTCTGCGTGTCCTTGGGCCCGTGGAGGGCCCCGGGAAGCCACAGCCGGCGAAAGACCTCGGGACACGTTCCCCTCAGGACTTTGCTTCCCCCATGGCGAGCCTCTACCCGCGGGGCCATCCCGCGGCAGCCCGGCAGGCGTCGGGCTCGGGCAGCTCCCGGAGCCGCCCCGGGAGTTCTTCGGCCGGCTGCCGCAGGGCAAGGTCTGTGCTCCCAGCCCGATTATCCGCGAGGGGCCATCCGCAGCCCGATCTGATCGAGGGCAGAGGGAGGGGGAAGAGGGCGGAATAGGGATGATTATGATGATGATGATGATGAGGAGGAGGAGGAGGAGGAGGAGGAAGAGGAGGAAGAGGAGGAGGAGGAGGAGGAGGAGGGGGGGGAGTCTAGGGCACAGGCCTCTCAAAGACTCCTCAGAAGTGAGGGTTGAGGCTCCAGTGATTGGGTAAAAGACCTGAGGATACGGCCACTCCGTGCCCAGCGGCACGGTGGCGGAGTGCGTCCGGCTGAGAATAGCCAATATTTGCTCCTACCGTTGCCCTTCCGATTAGGTCGCCTGCGATGCCCCACGGTTCGTTCAGCTCAGAAGAGCTGGAGCTGTGGAATCGTTGACATAGCAGGCGATCTTTGGGATTGGCGTCCGTATAGGTGGTGCTGCCGACAATGGCTGCGGGCGTGGAACCGCCAGCCAAGGTCGGCTTTTCGTCACATTGGTCACTTTTGTCAGCCACACGCCCGCCAGTAGTCTCTCGCATTCGTGCAGAGAGCGGCGACCGGAAGCGCCAGAAAGCACGAGCCGCACCCATTGTTTTTTCTGTACCCATTTCGGGCGTCCACACTCTGTCTCATCCTTCTCAGCCTCCTACCCTCAGACCGCTCCCATTCGTGTTCACTCACACACTCCGTAGGTTTGGTGATGTTATTGTGTCTTTCACCTTGATGATGACCAACGACGCATCCGACGCTGGTATTGCTTCAGTGTATCGCGCGAATTCTTGGACCACCGGGGACCTCCACATTGGGATTGACGCGCCGGATGTAAACGGTCAGACTTTCTAGTTTGGTGTCCATAGCAGCACTTACGGTACAAGCGATGGTCAGCCTCGTTTCAACAATTCTGATATCCCCCTGAATACGGCTGTGGACATTCGCTTCGTGTACTCCAAGAGCGGAGGCTCAGTGGATCTGTACGTGAACGGTGTCCTCACAGAGACCTTGACGCACGACGGCGCCCAGTCGATCAGTTCACCGCTGCAAAAAATCAGATGCTGGAACACCTAGAGGGTCTTGCGGGGAACGATTGAGGGTTTCGAGGTCTATTCGACGACGCCTGCCCCGACGCCGGAGCCCACGTTAGAGCCGACTCAATCGCCTACGCTCGCCCCGACGCCGACGACCACGCCCGCCCCGACGCCAGCGCCCGCGATGAGTCTGGCAGTCGGCAATCCTCATATGCAGAATGTGCATGGCGAGCGGTTCGATCTGATGACGCCAGGCAGCCATATTCTCAACAACATCCATCGTGGAGAGCGCGATGAATTTATCCTGGCGAAGGACCCAACCATAAGCAATTGTTCGTAACGCGTTGTGGGTGCCGCTTTCGGTGGGGCTCTCTATGGGGCCACGAAACGCTGCCTTGGGTGGGGGAACCGCATGCGAATTGCGCCACTGGGGCGGGCCTTCGGTGGAGCTCCTTATGGGGCCACGAAACGCTGCCCTGGGTGGGGGAACCACATGCGAGAGCAGCCACTGGGGCCTTCGGTGGAGCTCCCTATGGGGCCACGAAGCGCTGCCCTGGGTGGGGGAACCGCATGCGAACTGCGCCACGGGGGCCTTCGGTGGAGTTCCCTATGGGGCCACGAAGCGCTGCCCTGGGTGGGGGAACCGCATGCGAGAGCAGCCACTGGGGCCTTCGGTGGAGCTGCCTATGGAGCCACGAAGCGCTGCCCTGGGTGGGGGAACCGCATGCGAGAGCAGCCACTGGGGCCTTCGGTGGAGCTGCCTATGGGGCCACGAAGCGCTGCCCTGGGCGGGGGAACCGCATGCGAGAGCAACCACTGGGGCCTTCGGTGGAGCTCTCTATGGGGCTACGAAGCGTGTGAGAGGTGTGCCGAGAGCAGAGGCAAGGAGGGGGAGGACGAGGAGGGGGAGGGAGAAGCGGGAGGAGGAAGGAACGCGGGGCGCTGTCTCTTCAAAACGAGGACCCAACACCACAGGATGCTTGGGAACAAATTGTTTCGCGTGCAGGCCGGTGCGCGCCGATTGGGCAGACTGTGGACGAACATGTACTTCCAGAAAGTGAACGTGTCCGGGTCTTGGGCGGAGGCAAATCAAGCTGGTGGGTATCATTTCAGCGCGTCGCAGAGCGAGGTTGATGTTCCGCAGTGGGTTGTTGTTGGTAAGGTCGAGTTGAAGATCGTTCGTGGTCATACGGACGGAGGTATGTTGTATTGTAACGTGTACGTCAAGCATTTTGGACGAGCGGGGGTTGATGTCGGAAGTCTTCTTGGCGAAGCTGATTACACCGATGTGAGCACGCAATGCAATGTAACAGGAATGTTGCAATGCAATGCAATGTGCTTCAAGTGTGATGCAAGTGCAACGCAGTGTCACGCAGTGCAACGCAGTGCAACGCAATGCAACACAACAGGATGCAACGCAATGTAATTCAATGCAATGCAACGCATCGCAACACAATGCAACTCAATGCAATGCAACGCAACGCAATGCAATGCAATGCGACGCAACGCGTCGCGTTGCAGCGCCGCGGTGGCCGAACGAAACCACTATGCCACGACGACGACGATGACGAGGGCCAGGGAGGCGAACAAAGATACTACCATGTCTTCCTACTCGCCATTTTCCATCCCTCCGTCCTCCCTCCTCCCTCCCCCTTCCTCCCTCCTCCCCCTTTGCCTCCCTTCTCCTCCCTCTTCATTACAATGCAATGTGCTACTCGATATGGGCGCTTTCAGAGTCCATTTCTCACTGGCTTTTTGGCCCCATCGATTCGGCTCCCAGCACCTCCGCGAACCGACCCAGCTCAAGAACCGACGCAGCCAGTTCGAAATGAAGATATCTCAAATTGACTGTGCATGCACCTCTCGATTCCCCATGCTCTACGTATGATGTCTTCGGCGCCCAGATCCTCAGCATGGGGTCGTTTTTCTCCATGAGCATGGGCTTATTGCTATCCCGAGGGACTAGTCTGCCTCATTCCACGCTCATCCCTCCTTCGCAGTCTCCTACCTTCAGACCGCTCCCATTCAAATTCACTCACACACTCCGTAGCTTTGGCTCAAACCATTTCGCACGTGGGGCTTCTGCCCTTCGTCACACATACGTCGTGACACTTCACATTCACACGCATTCCTTTCCTACGTAGTATTTCCAGCCGACGCAGTTCTGATGGCGGCAGTTTGGAATGCACCATGTGTTTCGTTTCTTCTGATGCTAGTCACGCCCTTGACCCGCGCTCTCGTTCTCGAACACAGGGCCTCGAATGGTTCGAGCGGGCCTCTAACCATCTCCAATGTGTTCCAGAACCCAGCTGCAACTTACTCTAGCAATAATTGTGCGTGCCGGACTCAGTCGCGCACGACGATATTACTCGGTCTTTCACCGGGATGATGACCCACGGCGCATCCGACGAATCCTTGGACCACCGAGAACATCCCCATTCACATTCGATCCTGGGAAGGCTAAGTGCAACCCGCGTGTCCCCCCCCCCCCGGAGAGCTCGGGGCGGGGCCCGAGCTCGGGCCCCGCCTCCGCGAGGAGGAGGAGGAGGGAGGAGGAGGAGGAGGAGGAGGAGGAGGA